CCTCAGGTGCATGGGGGTGGGCACGCTGTGACCCGACACCGGGACTATGAGGTGGTCTCCAGGAATCCCACCTGAGCACAGACAGGAGCAGGGATGGAATATTAAGTTGTGACTTTGACATCACTGAGCAGAAGCTTCATAAATAATATGCTAACTGAAAAATATCAATATTACAAATTGTTTACATGAACCTGTTTTTCTGTTATCTGACTTATCTACTAAATTGGTTCTCACTTGATTAAGTCTGAAAGCTACACCGTTCAGCGCTACAACAATCACAGGGTTTTACCGGCCAAACAGCCAACAGGTCAGAATCAGCTCTATTGCCCTGGTAAGCTCACACATTCAAGGAATCTGACTTCAACTATGCTGCTGCTCCTACTACTTCTGACCCACGGGTTAAAGACCCACCTCCTCCGGTGTCGTCCTGCCCCACAGCGGTCAGACCCAGGTCTCCCTGCCAGCGGTTCTGGGTCAGGCTACCGCCACTGTCTCGCATTATCCACGAGCAACCCACTACCTGCGCCAGCTCGTCACCTGCAGACAACAAGCACAGACGACAGAGAGCGTGTGATTCAAAGTCACAGGAGAGGTCATTTATGGGAATTATCTGCACCATTCAAAATCTGCACATCTCTACTTTGCACGGTTCATACTTCATGTACTTTGTTTACTTAGAATAAAACCTTAAATCCAGCACTCTGACTAAATTGTACAAAAACATTAGAAACAAATGTTGGTTTATGGACTCATTTCTCTCCTTCACACCTTTATTAGAATTTTTTTTTTTTTGGAAATCTTAAAGTATAGAAGCAGGACATGACACAGAGTCCTAACAGCTCCGAACGTCTCTACTGAAGATTTTTATTTACTCCAGATCTTCAGTCATATTTTAAACCAAATGTTGCCTGAAAAAGAGAGAGAGAGGAGAGAGAGGAGAGAGAGACAGAGGAGAGAGAAGAGAGAAGAGAGAAGAGAGAGAGAGAGAGAGCTGTGGTGGTCCATTCAGTTTCAAGTGGAGGTCAGCAAACACTAATGGTTAGTCCAGTTCTTTCAGCTTCTTATAAAGACACTAAAGTTGATTTAACGCTCTCACAAACGGACAGACGCTGCAGAAACGTTGCCAATGTATCTGTTCAATTAAGAACAAAATGTTCTTTTTTTATTTTGTTTTTACTTTCATCCTGTAACTGTTTACACCATGATGTGCTGTGCATACCCAGACATTAAGTATGAATATGAGAGACTACATATAGATATATGTTTGTGCACTTTAAGGTGCAGCATTTCTTATTTCTAGTTTGTACAGCTGTGTAAAGACAATAAAGGGGTTTTATTATATTTCTGTTCACTGATAAAAACATGGTGTTGCTGATTAAAACTTCTGGTGTTGCCAGCAGGCTCATGCGCAGATAGTTTAATCATTTAGGAAACTCAAAGCTATGGTGGTCTTAATGAAAGGTGTGTGTCCTTCACAGACAGAGATACCTGCTGGTTTATCATCTCTGTTACCATGTGCACCTGGCTGCACAGCGGATGTGTTGCATTAGCTTGTACGCTAACTAGCCTGGTGGATTCCCTGCTAGCAATTACATAGCTATGAGAATAATAGTGCCAATAAGACAATAAGCATTTAAAATAGTGAATAATGAGATTGTACGGTGTCATGTACAGCGGAGAGTCTTTGAGGTGAAAACAATTCATTCCGCTGCCCGATGCTACCGTTAGCGCGTTAGCATTAGCAGCATCGGCGTTTCGGTTTGAGCACTTTTAAATAAATACAATTCACGAGTACAAAACGTACACCGTGGATTACTTTAACGATTAAAACCTGCTGCGTCACCGTTGAGAATCACCTGAAGGTGTCAGAAAGATGAATAAATGCGTTATCTCCGTGTTAGCTGCGGCTAGCTGTGTTAGCTGTGTTGTCGTTAGCTTGCTATGTAGCATGTTAGCAACAACAAAACAAACTCTCACAGCCAGGTGTCACACACCTGTGCTTACCTTTAGCAGTTAGATGTGTATGAATGAATCCAGGTGTTTCAGGTAGAAAGCTGGGCGGGTTTAATGTGTCTGGATGCTAACTGAAGCTCATTGAATGAAGTCAGGTGTGGAGCATTCCGGTGTCACCTCCCCGAGAGCTCGTTCAGGTGTTCCGGTTCACACAGAGACGCTCGAGCACGAAGTGAAGTCTTAAAGGAAACAAGGTGTGTGAGAAGTCGTCGGGATGATTCTGAAGTGATGATGTGGTCTGAAGCAGCCGGATCACTGCAGGCTTCTCTCCGCTCTCATGTCAAACAGAAGCGTCGCGCAGCTATGGCGTCACACACAGACTGTTTCAAGTCTGGATAATAAAACATTTAAATATTAAAACAACTCACTTTTTATTTATTTATATGGCGCCATTGAAGTCCCAAAAAGTTAGAAAATAATAATATCTTGTGCTCACAAGTTAGTTCACCAAACTCATTTGTAATTTGTTTATTACCAAAACTGTACAGAAAAGACTCCAACACAGGGGCGATTCTGGAGTCTTTGGGGCCCTGGGCAAGAATTCACAGGGGGGGCCCTCCAAGCAGAGGTCACAGTTTATTTCCAAAGTTAAATTATTATTATTTCAATAGTTATTGTTTGGGCCTGTTGACCATACAGGACAGCTGAAGAGAGACAGGAAATTCTACAATTCTACAATTCAGTTAGCAGACTCTTTTATCCAAAGCGGCGTACATCAGAGAGTAAGTACAACACAAGCAAGGATCTAGAAAAAAGGGAACAATGTCAGTAAGAGCAAACGATCAGCTTTGAGTCCGATTGGACACACAGGTGCTGACAGGAAGTGACCAGAGGCAAAGCACAACATTGAGGGCAGTTCTTGAGAGCTCTAATCAGTATAGAAACCATCTTATAAGTTGTCGTTATCAAACAAAAACCATCGTTATTACCATCATCATCATCAATAATATGGAGACCATCATCATTAAGTACAAATGTTGCGAGGAAAGCGCTGGGGAGGACATGCAACCAATCGGTGCTTTCCATTTACCTCAGAACTCGTATGTCGGAGCTGGGAATGACGTCACACCCGAGATAACCGCGTTCCAGTTGCGAGTTGGCAACAAGAAACATGGATGGAATTTCTGACTTCAGAGATCAAATGGAATGCACCAAAATGGCCGAGGTCTGATTCAAACCCATGACCACTGCGATGAGGATTTCGGCCTCTGTACATGGGGTGCACGACATAACCTCTAGGCTATCCAGCGCCCCAAAGTAGTATTATTCTAAATATATAAATATTGGAAACTTTAAAAAGTTTGTAATTTTAAAATATAATCATGAATAACAGTAGAAACACTTCATAGAATACTAGCAGAAGTTATGTTAATTGTTTCTACCCTATATTTAGGGCAAGACAAGCCAAATTTATGCTGCCTTCAAGTGCTCCTCCTATCCTATCGTACTTCCCAGTTGTGCAGTCGTGATGATGACATGTATAAATTCAAGATCTGTGGTCCTAAAAAAACAACAAACATGGACTCTAGAAGTAAGGTTGTCTTTGAGTGGTTAATGGTTGATTACCAGGTATTACAGTGCTCCTTAGTGCTTCAGCAGCAGAATGAAGAACATCAGGTAAACGTTGGTATCGACGTTAATATACTCACCTGGCATAATTTTGAGTTAAACATTTACTTACTGTTACAGCTAATAAATTTGCAATAAAGTTGCAATGTGCAACTACTAAATGTAAATGATAGCTACTATTAACAAAATCAAAAAATATTTAATTTTTCTGAAAGTTTGTTCAGTCTGACATGACGTCTGCAGCTAGAAGGCTTCACATTACAGACAAATTCAAAGTTCAATATGATTCAATAAAACAGAGAGACAGAGGTAAAGGAGTTCAAATCTTTAGTCATTTCCAAACTTTACAAATATGTAACAATGTGAAGGTGACACAAAAACCAAGAGGAACATCTGTCATGTTAGCTCGTTCACAGACGCTTACAGCAACATGAGAAACTTCCACACGTCACATGAAATTAAATGAAAACCTCTCAGGTCCAGAAATGGGACAGAACATCCCGCACTGAAGTGCAAACACAACAACAGAAGCGTCCGATGATGTTGAGATAAGGAGAACAGAGAATGAACCTTCATCATAAAGAAACGTGCAAATCTTAGTTTCTCAGTTCAGAAAAAAAATATTTGCATGAGCACAATAAAGATCAAATCAGTGAGATGTATAGAGACTGAAATGATAAAAGTACCTTACTGTATGATCAGACATTAAGAAAACATGCTATGTTGAAGTGCTGGCTTCTCTGACAACAATGCAGCAGTCAGTATGTCCTCCTTCTAACTTCAGATTCTGGTCCTGAATGATCTGGATTTGTTTGGACCAGAGAAGGTAGAAGGGTTTTAAGGCACCCCCACACGGCCATTTTGGACGCCCCTCGATTTCCCAGATATGAGAGCAGTTATCAGCTCTCTTCAAGAATTTGGACTGCAGTACCCATTTTAAACACTAGGTGTCAGAGTTACATACTGCTCCTTTAAGCCTGCGATCATATGACTGAAGGCGTCTGAGTGTAAAGAAAATGTTCTGATGTAACTGATCTCGCCCTCATATCTGTATTTATTTTGAATAAATAAGAAAACTTAAAGTCAAACCTTAAATAAATGCTATAAGTTAGTTAAAAAAGTCTTGCTGCATGGCTTCTTTCCTTGGCTTTATTTCCCATTTGCATCTTCGTCCTGTCATCTCCTCGGAGAAGATAAAATATGACGTAAACATTTTAACACCTCAAACACAACAATCTGTTCTTCCCATCACGTCCAAATGAACCCATTTGTGGCTTCGTTGAAAACTTAATCAAACTACAAAAGGGCGAACAGAAGGGAAACTTCACGTTACAAAACGTGAGCAGGAAAACTCATTTTAAAAGTAAGGCGTCTCAGGTGAGAAACTGCATGCTCAAATATTTATTTTCCTCCACGGCTGACATTAATATGTTTTATTTTATTTCCAAAACCACAACCTCTCCTTCACTGGATCCGTAACAAAGGGTCTATCTGGTAACTTTCTAAACCAGGTAAGATCTCAACGTCTGCAGCAGGTAGACAGACTGTAACGTCTGCAGCAGGTAAACAGACATTACAGCCTGTTTACCTGCTGCAGACAGATGAGAGAATCTACTGTGGACATTTTGAGTTCTCTAAATCTTTAAAATGTGGCCCAGGTTTAAAAATAACAAAATTTCTTTGTAACCAAATCCCATGGAGGCAGAGAAATAGACAATTGATTGTTTTATGATGAATCAAAAACGTTGCTTCAAGAGGTTCGATCAGTTCACGGACTTCTCCCCCTCTTGAGATGAGTAACAGTCATCAGGAGAAACATGATCCTTGTACGTCTGAGTCTTCTGGCACCACATTTTGGTTTTTAGCAGGTGGAGGCTGAGCTGGTCAAACCTCATTTCCTTTTCTCTTTTGGCAGCTTGGCTCGTGTCAGTCGTACACACGTTCACAAACACTCTGAACATTCACACTTTGTAACTAAAGTCACAAATAAAAACACACACACACTGCAAAGCAAACCGTTAAAAGATACAAACAGCTCTCTCTCTCTCAGGCTCTGAGGAGAAGTTGGGAAACATTTCTTCGGAGCTGAACTTCCTGTCAAGTTTGGACTGTTTACAAAACGTCCACTTCCTGCTGGCTGGTCGTTTCCTCTCCTTCCATCAGGTAGAAGGTGAGAGGAGACTAATGTCCTGTCCTTAATTCAGTCCCACTTCCTTTTATAAAAGCTCAAAGTTTGCATGCTGGAGTTTTAATAAAATCACTGCATCACACACTTCTCTTTCTGCTGTTTGGCGTACTTCCTCCGGCGCTGCTCCAGACCTCGCTCCAGGCGCTCGTCTTCCTCCAGAGCTCTGAGGACGAGGATAGAGGATGAGAGTCAGAAACAGAGAGAACCTAAACTCACATGTCACCTGAGTCACATCCATCTATCCCGATTCCTGACAACTGATGTAGTAATCGTATCTGTCTCTAAAACCTAAAACATTTTTCTTAATTCATAAAAACATAAACGTCTCCAAACTACGTCTCGTTCACACACTCTGACGAGCACATGCAGGCTTCCTCCCGCAGAACACGGGGACACTACATCTGCAAAATAATGAATATGGTGAATATTATCGTGTGTGTCTGACCCTCTCTCCTTGGCGTCTAAGTTGTGCACCAGTTGGTCTCTCTGGTTCACCAGTGAAACCAGCTCCTGCAGCAGCAGCTGCTCTCGGACTTTATGATCCCGAGTCTTCTGCCACTCTGCAACAAAGAGACAAAAGATTTCAATAAACACGAGAGGAAGACATGTCCCTTTTTTTGTTTCCTGTCTTGTAAACTGAGCATGCTTCATGACGTTATGTATAAGAGGTAACCGTGCTCAGGCCCGGTTAGTCCTGGAGCAGTGTGAGTGCAGGCCAGCGGGGGGGGGGCAACCGTCTTACCTTCGATGGCCATCATGTCCCTCAGCTCCTTGTTTAACAGCTCAAATCTTCTCTCCAGGTCTTCTTCTTCCAGCCTGTCAGAAACAAAGACGCATCACACCGAGACTTCAGCAGGAGATTTGTTTCAGGGAGGAGCAGCAGCTGAGAGCTTTGGAGAGCTAAAAAAAATAATCTCTAGGACTTCTTGTTTTTGATGTTTTACAGTTTTCATATCTACATAAAGAGCAGCAAATAAAATGTAAAAAAAATGCATTGATGGGGAAAATGTTTTAATTATTTGTTGTATTTATAAGTCAACAGAGGGTGGCGCCCTCCTCCTCTGCAACAGAAGTGTGTGTGTGTTTGTTTGCGAGTGTGTGTGTGTGGTTGTGTGACTGTGTGTGTGTGTGTGTGTGTGTGTGTGTGACAATGTGTGCGGTTATGGTTATGCATGTGTGTGTGTGTGTGTGTGTGTGTGTGTGTGTGTGTGTGTGTGTGTGTGTGTGTGTGTGTGTATAAGTCTTACAGCAGCTGCAGCTGGTCCTGCCTCCTGATTAAAGCGTTCTTCTTGTTGACCAGCGTGAACCATTCCTGGATCAGACGCTCCTCCTCCACCTTATCACTTCCTGCAACACAAACCACATCGGCATAAACATCCCCTCGCTGTCAGTCCTCGTCTCTCTGACTTCATGAAACATAAAGAGTACAGCGTTATTTTGTCTGTTGTCTCCAACAACTTCATGATTTCTGAACGTGTCACCTGTTTCCAGCAGCTGTCGGAGTTTCCTCTCCACCACCCCGGCTCTGTTGTCGATGTGGTTTTGTTCGGCCTCCAGAGCTTCCATCTGACTCAACACATACTGACTGGCGTCCTGGATACATTACATTAATTCAGAAACACTTCCAGATGTACAGACGGATTCTCTCTGTTACAGAATGAAAGAATGAGCTGATAACCGACCTGGCCTTCTGCTCGTCCCTCCTCGACCACGGCGTCTGTTCCCTCTGTGACACCAACACAAATCAAATAAACAGCTGGTGTTAACAAACTGGGGGAATAAACATCCTCATTTCAAAAAAAACCAGCAAGGCCTGCATTGTCTCTTCAAACACTAAATCGTCTGCATTTTGCACTTCACCATCGGCTTCATGTTTCAACACCGGAGGTTCCCGCTTGGCCAATACTGAACCTGCTTCCCTCTGACTTGTGTAACTGTACTCATGTTAAAAGTGTTTGAAGCTTCAGTCTTCACTCTTTCACCCAGTCACAAAGCTTTAAAGGCCCTAACACACATGCCAGGCGGCAAAGAACTAGTGGCGACGAAGGCGTCTGTGGCGTCACCTCACGTCTTGGTTAAAAAGTTGCACTTGAACACACCGCAAAGACTAAAGCCGACGGCCAACCACCACGTACGTTCTGCTCATGAGTGAGAGAAAATAACTCTCCATGCCAGCAGGCGGCGATAGTTTGTTGTTATGATATCAGAAGACCACAACGCTGTCGCTCACCACTCGTATTATAGGTAGTCTACTAATGGAGAATAATATCTGATAAAAAGTTGAAAATGGCGCTGGCGTTGTCAGCCCTTGTTCTTTTAGTGGAAAAAGAAGAGGCGGAGGCGACAAATAAAGTGAAACCGCACTAATGGGTGAAAGCATGGATACTACAGAGACATGCTCAAGGAGCTTTACTGAACCTGAGAGAGCTGGAGAGAAATGAAACCTCCCAACAGCCAATCAGAGAGATCCTTATCACTGCGCTGATGCTGACCGACGGCGATCCAGTCGGCCGGAAAAAGGCAGACGGGTGGCGACGGGTAGTGACGACTACTCGCTGACGGTCCAACTAGGACCGACGGCTGACGATCTCCTTGATGTGTCGGGGCCTTAAGGACTTTTAGAAAACTGAGAAAGTTACAAAATGTATGTTACCGCTGAGTTAGGAGGTAAACGTTATGTTTGAACTCTGAGGTTTTTTATGACGCCATCTTGAGCTAAGTGTGTTTGATTTGATGTTCCTGAGTCGTGGGTGGAAGTTGTAACCTCACCTTGACTTGTGCCTAAAATTGTTAGCTGCATAAATACTTTGGAAGAAAAATAAGAGAGCTCATAAATAAACCAGAAAAGGCTGTTGCAGCAGGTGTTGCTGCGCCGGCCCTTTAAAAAAGGCTGATGTCTGTTTGAGCTGAAACTGTTTGTGACAGAGAGGCTCACCAGTTTCTGACTTTCTCCGGGTGATTACACTTTCCTCCGCCCCTGCTACGACCTGCAGACAAAAAGAGTTCTTAATATTTCACAGGAAAGTTTTACTTATGTTCTAAATAAAATAACTGAAAAACAGATCATACCACTGATATTTCTCCTTCGTCCAGTGATCCACTTCTCCGCTGTGACCTCCTCTTCTTCACCAGATCAGCGTCTTTGACATGAGAGAACGCTGACTTGGACAGGAAATGAGTCCTGGGTGGTGCAACAGGTATCTGCGCCCCAGCGCCCTGCATCCGTTTGGTTCTCGGAGGAGGAACCACGTCTGTACTGGTTTGACTCTCCTCTGCAGGGCCTGCTGTCCTATTAGCCTCCAGGCTGATCCCCTCCTCCTGCAGCCTCTGGGCGCAGTAACGCACCATCGCCTCGGGGTCCTCGGGGGTCTCCCTGTCCGCTGCGACCGCGTAGCTGGACTCGCTGCTGTCCTTGTCGATGTGCAGCACGCTCAGCTGCTGGCCCGTGAAATGTGTGCAGATCTGGTTGAGGTAGGTCATGACGATGAGACGGTCAGGTACGGCTAACATGACCATGTCTGAAGGCTCCATCAGACGGGAAATACCAAGTTCAGCAAAGCCGTCAAACGCCTGCAGGAGGACGTGAGATGTAGGGTCAGATTAGGAATTATACACCAGCACATTAAAACAACATAAATTACAATAATGCAACGTAATCATCATTTTAATGTTTGATCCAACTTTTTATTCAGGTAACAAATAATCTGATCAACGCATTGTTAGAGGGCTGGACGGTGGTTAGCAATGGTTGTTAAAAATAAAAATAAATTAGTTCTGTCCCCCCCAGGACTGGTGGTTTGTCCTGCAGGGGGGCAGGAGGTTTGTGTCAGCAGACCTGAGCGTGCGGATTGGAGGAGCTCAGACAGGTAGGGGGGGAGGAGCCAGGTTGTGAAGGGCCTTGTAGGTGATGATGAGGAGTTTGAAGTGGATACACTGGGGGATGGGGAGCCAGTGGAGGTCATGAAGGACGGGGGTGATGTGGTCACGGGTGCAGGAGTGAGTGAGAAGACGAGCAGCTGAGTTTTGGATATATTGCAGTAGTGTGGTGTGTTTGCAGAGAGGGATTTGTAACAGCTGTTTGGGGTTCAAATAATCATCTTCCTCTGAAACAAAAAGGTCTCTCTCTGCAAGGATCCTTTCTGTTATAACGAACTTTAGCCAAGAACATTTCCCCAAACAGTTGTTAAAGTCGGTTTCATTGCTGCAAGCTGAACAAGTCTAACTTTATATTTATTCATTATATACACATTCATAAACGTACTAAATAAACTTTTTAATAATTTACCTTTTTGTTGTTTGACTTGATGTCATACGGGTCCAGCATTTCAAAGTTTCTAAACAAAGAAAAAGACAGAAAATAACAGAGTTAATACTTAAAGGTCCCATATTCTGTAAAATCCACTTCACCATGTTTTTCTAACTCTAATATGTGTCTCTAGTCTATAAACCCCCCAATTAAGAGAAAAGTCCATCCTCTCCGTCTTTTTCCTGCTCCACTTTTCAGAAAATGTGTGCTCAAACAGGCCGTTTGGAGATTTTCCCTTCATGACATCACAAAGGGCAGTAACCCCTCCCCCAGGTGGGTGACACTCCCACAGCTAGGTGTTTGTTCTGCCCTCTGAGTCTGCCTTCTCACCGTAATCAATAGGACATGGAGCGAGAAAGCCAGAGACACCCAAGCTCTTCACATTTGTTCACATATTGCATTTTTGGACCAATCAGTACAAATTACTAGTGTAGTAGATGGTTTACAAAGCAGCCTATTTAACGTTTTTCTTACATCTGTTCTGGGTGGAAGTGATGTAAGATGGCGCAGAAGGCGAAGCCGTTCCTCCAGGATGTGCTGAAGTTGGTGATCTTTACTCCCTTGTGACCCTGTGTGACCTCCTGACACCACTGCAGCAGAGAGTGACTGGATGTCACCAGGCTCGGACTCGCGGTAAAATTCTGCAGAACACACACAAAAACTTTATAAGGGACTGATTGTAGTGAGCAATACAACGAGAGCAGTCATGATTAACTCTCTGTCTCTCCTCGGCTCTGCTGAGCTCCGTCTGTGTAAGAGCAGGGGTGAAGCCCCGCCCACTCCATGAACAACACCAACAGGTTCCTTTCATTTCAGCTTCTATTTCTCTTTGTAAATACAAGTGAAGAAGTGCATTTTACGTACATCTGACGAGGCGGCTCCCTCTGCAGGTGTTTTCTGAGGTGTTGTTGGTTCTGTTTTTTGATGAGGGCCTGCAGGTTGTCCTGAAGATTCGTCTGTGTGCTCAGTTTTCCTGGAAAGACACAAAAACACAAGCTAAGTTGGGAATAAACTAAAAACACTTATTTGAAAACATGTCAAGACGACAAAACACTTGTTGATAGAAAAAACCCACAGAGATTAAACGGTTAGAAATACAATGAAATTAGAGTTTATTTTTGTCGATAGGATGATGTGAAACACACATATCACTGTTATGAACTCACTCCCCACACCTTCATGTGATCTCACTAACCTTACCTTTGTTGTTCCTCTAAACAACCAGCAGCTACTTCTACTGACACAAAGCCAAAGTCCAACTCTTCATCTCTCAATTCCTTCCTTGAGTTTGTTTCCATGTGTTCACCATCTTTATCAGCCCCTACATGCAGCCAGTCATCTGGAGAAGATGCAACAGTGGAAGCCAAGGACCTGTCCACCTCTGCTCTCAGGACTTGTTCCATGTCAGCCAGCTCCGACATTGCCCCAACAGCAAGTTTGTCTGCAACAACAGGTTTATTTGTAAAGGTCCAGCCTTCAATGATTTCTTCCAGTGCCTTTGCCGTATCTTCAACAGAATCTGCATGTGGAAACTCTTCTCTCATTGCTGCCAGAACTTCCCGTTCCAGCTCTGACGTTGCATCATCTTCTCCTTGGACTGTGACAAAATCGCCTACAGAGACCACGCTTGAATCCATCGATGTTGAACCTTCCTTCGGTTCCTTGCTAAGGACAGATGTTTCTGCCTGAGATTTTTGGGACGATTCCATTTCTGGGGGGAAGAAATTGTCTACGGGTGGTGTGCTATCTGAATAAGTTGCACTGAGACGTTTCTTTGTCCGAGGCAATGGAACAAGCAACCCTGACTGTTCATTATGTTGAACTGATTCCTGTCCAATGTTGTCAGTTGCTGTGTCTGATGGGCAGGAACCAGAAACCGTAGTGTCATCTGGGAACGAGCCACTCAGACGCTTCTTTACTCTAGGTTTTGGTACAGGTAAGCTTGATGCTTCTTCTTTGACTTTCCCACTGCTCTCAACGCGTTTTCTGCTTCTAAACTTTACAGGAGCCACTTCTTCAGGAGACATAGAAGGTTCATCACCCCGAGAGTTTGAGGAAAAGGATGGAGGACCGCTGTCGCCAATGGTAGCCTTATAAGTGCTCTCTATAGCTGTAAAATTTTCAGGGAAAGAGCCACTGAGACGTTTTCTAGCACGAGGCTTTGGGATTTGAAGAGTTATATCTTTGTTACTCTCTGCATCTGCTTTCTCTAATGTATCCTCAGCTTTCTTAGAGGTTGTGATGTTGATAATTTCAACAGATGTGTCTTTAGATATAGTTGTCTGCTTCACTTCTTCTGTATGACAAATAGCATCGTCGACAATCTGGGTTGGTTTTACAGACTGTACATTTGTAACATTTATTTTTTGTTCTATATTTTCCTTTTCAAAGTTGTTTTTGCCAGACTTTCTTGAAGGCAATCTCTTGCCACGTAGTGGAAGACGTATCTTCTTGATGATTGAGAGAGAAGTAGTTTGCTCAACAGGAAAGATCTCCGGCTCTTGCATTTTGGTGACACTCTCACATTCTTTTATTTCCAAGGAAGGACTGGCGTTAGAAGAGTCCTGGACAGAGGTGCTTTCCAATGAACCATGTGTCTTTTCTTTGTCCTTTGAGATGACCAATTCTGTGTCTCCACTCCCAAAAGAACTGGTAGGTGTTAGGTCTTTGGTTTCAACTTGTCCTGAAGGAATAATTTCAGCAGCATTTTGAAAAAGTTTGCCAATGTTCTTTATTCCGTGAGCTTCTAGGTTTTGCTCACAAGGTTGAGTAGGAACAGGATCAGGACTTTTTGGAGCAGAGGTCACTTGGGCATTTGAATCTTGTTGGTCTGGAGCTTTTGGAACAGATGAATCTCTGCTGGATCTGTCTTTTCTCCTCTGAGGCTTGCAAGGGGCAGTTCTTTGTGGAGTATCAGGCGGCAAACTACCATCTCTTCTTTTTCCATGATGAGGAGGGACTTCATCTACGGATGTAATCACAGGCTCAGTCTCTGTAGCTTGTCTATGGTCCCCTCCATCTTGTTTTACTTGAGTAACGGGACTTTCTCCAACTTGATCATTTTGAGGAACACCTAGAAGAATTGTACTGTCTTGTTCTTCTTTCTTCATGCTGCAAGATGTGGAAATGGCTGATTGTGTGGCAACTGTCTCAGCAGAAGCATCTTTCCTCACAGCCTCCAAAGGAATAACTTCAGGGATATTCTTGCCCAAGACGCTGTTAGTGTTTTGTTTCCGGTCTGGTGTTAAACTATCCTTCCTTCTGAGTGGTCGTACTGGAGCAGTGTGTCTTTCTTGATCATTACATTTCTGTGAAGGTTCTTGCACTTTTCTCTTTGGTCTTCTGCCTCGCTTTGGGACAACTATGTCAGCTTGTGGTCCAACTGGACTAATGTCCTTCAAATCAGCAGTTTTCTCCATGAGTACCTCCCTATGTACATCAGGAACTGCCAGTGAATCATTTGATGAGGGCTGCAGGGGTGTGGCAACAATTTCTTCCATGCTCGTTTGTTGGGTGCTTAAGAAAAAGAAATGAAAAGCTTCAGAATTGGATCTTTTTTTGCTTTGTCATATAGTTATACCATGCACCATATCTTCAACCAACTTCTTCTCAACCAACAAGACAGCAACTCAGCATATTGCATACGCAAAACAAAACCATACATTTCAAACTGTCTTCTTGACTTTTCTCATGCAGACTCTCACATGAACAACAAAGCAGCACATCAAGGATACGGTGACAAAGTTAACCCCGGTTCAAAACAACAATATAACCACTCCACATCGCAATACCTTACAGCTATTACAAATAAATAACCATCACAACCTTCAGAGTAGTAAAGCTCAAAAGCAAAACAAGTTATCATCAAGAATGAGGGACATGTACACTTCCACACCATGCAACCAAACACCGGGTCAATGTACTCCAGCACTCACCCTTCATCCAGCTGTGACACTGTTTTAACGTCAGGCTGTTCTGTCTCAGTCTGCTGCCTTACTAACAAACTTTCAATGTCTCTTGATTTTTGAACAGAATCCTGCTCTGTCAGGGAATTCTCTGTTGTTTGATCAATACTGATGTCTTGTTCCTCTACTTGTTCATCATCGTCCTTTGAGATTTCAGTGATATCTGCCTCCGTCAGCGGGGGCCATTTCTTCATGCTTGCGTTTTTCGAAAATCCATCATCGTTGTCAGTGATTGGTAACAGAGATGCAGACTGATCATCTTCCAAGTCCAACATGTATGACTCGGCAATTGTTGGATTTTCAATGTTTTGATTGTCTTCAAACGGGGCCTCTATTTTCTCTATCGGAGTACCGCTGTCTGTGCATTCAGGAAGAAACACATCTGATGGAGTCAGTGTTGTATCTTTTAGATCAACCGAGGGGACAGCCTTGTGTTGGTGATCCACTTCAGCTACAGTAGAGGTAGATGGCCCCAAAATAGATGCTACTGTTTCATAACTGTGAGACATGGAACCATGCAGAAACAATGGTTTTAGTGGATATGTAGCTGATTGAGGAAATCAGTGACTATTAGAATCACTTCTCATGCAAATGAAGTCCAGTTTTTACATGATGCCAAACATTGACACAAATGATGAACCATGACAAACGGACTCTAATAAATGATGCACTGTTGCATGCTTCACAACATTTATTTGAGATCAAGGTCACTTACCCTTTGTGGAAAACACCTACAATAGCCTTTACTAATCCTGAGCTGTCTTCCTCTTTTGCCGCCAAAGAAGATGCCTGTTTTTCTGTCAGTGTTCCCTCTGCCTCCAATACTTCCCAACCCAACACTCTCACCGGCTCTGATGCATGCAGCGGCTTAATCGGTGTTTGGGCTTCATCTTTTGCTTTCCTCTCTTCTTGGGGTTTGCTGAGAACCCAAATATAAAGGATTTCAATGTGATTTAAACCAGTCACACAGCCATGCAATAAAAAGTTTAATAATCAGCCTTCCAAAGGGATTCAAAGATTTGCGTTGTAAAGTATTGTCAAGTTTCAAAGGCTACTGTTCATTGGTCCAAACAGTCCAATGGTAGGCAAGCACTACACTGGTCACTCTCACAGCAAACAATGCTAAAGCAACAGGCTCTTCCACTTACCCGTCATCTACACAAAGGTCTACGTTTAGCGTTGCTTCACCTTCAAATTTGCCCTCTGTCATAGAAGCAAATATAGTAAAATACACAAATAGAAACAAGGTAAAGAAAGATGAATACATAAATCTTAAATCTTAACACTGTCTCACCGTATGCAAGAGCTTTGCTGTGTGTAGAAGGAACACTATCACTTCTTGCATCTTTGAGATTTGACTGTGTCGACTTTGCATGAGGCAGTTCTTGACATGAATGCTCCTCAGAAGAACAAGGGAGTGGGTTGGTCATTGTTTCTTTCTGAGATGGAATCAGTTGTGAAATGCTGGGAAATCCGGGACTCCCAGTCAAATGTGGACATGAAGGAGCCATTGCTACCATGTACTTCAGTTCTTCTTGTCCATGTTCAAGTTTTGCTCCAATGTTATCAAAAAGAGAAATCCTCTCAATCTTCAGTTTCTCATACAGGGACTTGCTGTGTGTTAGCTGAGTTTGTTTATCTGTACTTTCATAGCTAAGCATCCTTGCTGATGGGAAACCTTGAATGCATGAAACACATGGAGCAGTTGTGTATAAGCTGACGATGTTTGGTGGTCTGTTTAACACTTGAGCAGAGGGCAAGCCATTTACTCTGGCCTCTTTTGGGCAGGATGTCACTAATGTCACCATGCTTTTTAGGTTATAATAATAAACCTGGTCCTGTCTAAAGTGTGGCACAAGCATTTCTGCCCTCTTCTCTTGATGCTTCATTGAGATTGTTTCCGTTCCATGTAGTAACCATGTGCTTGGGATTGTTGTCATGGATGCAAATCCTCGAAGATTCGATGCGCTGGAGCAGCAAGGTACAAAACTTATCATATTGGGTTCAACCTTGGATTTAGTTTGAGGTGCAGAGGGAAACCCAGGGATCCTGGAAGCTTCTGGGCAAGATGGTGCAAAGGCCAACATTTTCTTCACAGTTTTTAAGTCTTGATCAAAACTGTGTATCATAAAAACTGTCTCCTTCGATGGCTTAGCACAACAACTGTGTGGATCAAAAAGCCAGTGGAGTTCTGAGGCACCTTCGAAGGATGATAATCCAGAAAAGCTGGATACTTTGGGGCAAACAGGTACAAGACTCAGCATATTGTATCGGGGGACAGATGGGATGCCTGTAATTTGTGACGCTCTTGGGCAAGAAGGAACCAATGAAAACATTGTGTTTGGTTTGTCTATGCTCATTGGCCAGTTGTAAATACTAAACTGAATTTTCTTTTGTGGTCTGTGCACAATTGAACCAAGTTCAGCAGCCCATCCCTCTTGCTTTTTCTCTTCAACTGATGAAAATCCAGGGATGTGAGAAGTTAGAGGGCACAAAAGAAGCAGGCTGACAACACTAAGGCCATAATAAACATTTTGGGGATTTGGAATAGATGGGAAACCAGGATACTTGACACTTTAGGACAGGATGGGACGCAGGAAATCATATTCCTCATTATCTTTTTGTTATCATTTAATGTGTCAAATATGATCCCTGTCTTTGGTTTCTTTTTCAGCAAAGAATCTTTTTCTGTCACCCATCTCAGACTATTATCCAAATCAACTGATGGGAATCCAGATATTTTGGAAACTTGGGAGCACATTGTAAAAAGACTGATAATACTTGGTCCAAAATAAACAGTTTTGGGATTTGGACAAGAAGGAAATCCTGATGTCCGTGCTTCTTTTGGACAGGATGGTACAAGAGACACCATTGCTTTTATTGCTGTCTTATCTCTTTGACATTTGCCAATAAATGACAACTGCCTTCCTTGTCTTCTTGGTGCACATAGTTGCTCCCTGTTGGATGTCCACTCTCTTGAGTTATCAGAAGATGGGAATCCTGGTATTTGTGACATTTTTGAGCACAAGTTTAATAGACTGACCATGTTTTCCATTATATTGGCTTCAGGTTCAGAAGTTTTAGGACAAGGGCTCAAAAGGCTCATCATACCTGATTCCAGATGTGATACAGGAGTTTGGGGGATCGAGGGGATGCCTGTTATGCAAGAATGTTTTGGGCAAGTCCCTACCAAAACTCCCATTGGTTTACATTCATTATTCTTCTCCCTTAGTGACACTGTCATGACAGCAGGTTCGCTTTGCAATTTCCTCTCTAAAAATGGTTCCTGCTGTGATTCCCATGATCTGATATTGGCTTCACAAATAGATGGTGAACCAGGTATAACAGATACAGTCGGACAACAAGGACTCAAATAAAACATACTTGGCCCTTGACTGTTTTGTGGTACAGATGGGAACCCTGGATTTCTGGCTTCACTGGGACAAGATGGTACCAGTAAAACCATTTCCTTCTTGTTCTTTTCATCGTCTTTTGATGCACAAAGCTGTAAAACTTCCTTATTATTTGATTGCTTCTCCCAGATCGGCTTTTGATCTATAAACAATTGATTGTCTTTTTTTACTGATAATTTCGATGGCATGCCAGGGATGTTTGTCAAACTGGGACAGATGTCCGAAAAAGTGGACTGATAAAACAAAGTGTTTGCATTGTATGAAACAAGTTGTTCACTCGATAAGAATTTATTTTTATCCATTTCATGTTCCACTAGATCTACATGTCCTTTGAAACAAAGAGCATCTTTAACTTCGTTATCCTTTATTGGCTTATTCCTGCTCTTATCCCAGCTCAATTCACTGTCCATGAATGTTGGGCATTCATTTGGGCATTCAGGCAACAGATCTGCCATTCCAGCTTCAGTCTTCGTGTTTATTTCATCCGTTTTTTCTGACATTGCAGGTTGACCCGAAGTTATTGCAGCATCAGATAACGGTGGGAGCATCCTGACCATTTCTTTTAAAGTTTTAATTCCCTCCACTGATTTGTTTAACTCTATAGACACCTTTGGTAGCTCCTCCCATAGTATAGACTTGTCTGTAGGATATTTTACTGGTGTTGCCTTAGGTAGCTCCTCCCACACTGTGGTTCTGTTGGTGGGGTATTCTTGTAACTGCTGCACAGTGTTATTTATTTGGGTGTGGGATGGGAGTTCTGCCATATCAGCAACAGGTCTAAAAAGGAGGTAAATACAAAGTTATACCCAGTGTTTACTTATAAAATACCAAAAAATTTTAATATTGGCGACATGTTCCCATAGTTACCACTGCAATTCCAAATACCTACAGCCAAATTCTTTAGAAAGCATGTGCAGTGTACTTCAATTAGAAGATTATCTTTGCTCCACAAAATAATTTCCACATGCAATGAAATGCAAATCCATGCAATTTCAACAAAAGCTTTTCACACCAAACTTTCTTCAGTCAGTATAAGAATAAACCACTACTAATGCCAATAACGTGCACTCCTGCAAACACAACATCACACTATATTCTTTACCAAGGTTTACTAAAACTGCTGTAAAACCAGTATTGTTTCTTGGTTAAAGAACATTTTAAAGAGAAAACTTTCTCCTTGGGTACTGCTCAAAATTTTTGGCTGTACAAAGAACTTCTCTGAAAATCAAATGTTTCTTTCCAAGTTAATACTTCCAGATATATATGTAAAGACATGTTTTAATGTTTGACTTTTATAATGAGTGTTTGTGTAGTGGTCAGACTGCATTAAGAATCTTTGAGTATTGGTTCCTTATTACAATTTTTAATTATTTATTAATACTCTTGGATTTCCAGACTGACTTGTGGTTGTGTATTTCAGGTGTTTTGTTTCTCTATGGTAACCCTTTTGATTCAGTAGCAGAAGCACCACCATTGAACTATGAGCAAGAAATGATGCTACCTTAAGAGGACATTATAAATAGAATCATGCAACACTTCATTACACTTAGCTCAAATTGACAAACACAGAACAAAGGTACTACCCTCTGTCACACTTAATCCACAGTGTCATAGCATACAGTATATTATAATGTATGCAGTACAGAGACATTACACAACTCCACTGACAAAGTGTGAAACCATTGTTCTCCACAGTGACAACAGCAGACTGCGTATATCCCTTCTCGTACAATGATAAATATATTTCTGGAGAATCCTTTTGACCCAACAGGCAGAGAAACGGCCAAGCATTAGTGATAAAACCTGTTCAAATTTGGTCATCCACAAAATAACTCCAGTATACGCTAAGTATGGCACACACTAAAAATGCAAATGGTGCCATAAATTAGTCAGTTAGATGCAAATGCATTATTTATGAAAATGCATCAGTGTGCAAATTAAACAACCCACCTCTTCCTAACACTCAAGATTAGTGGCATGTCCGGGACTGAGTGCCACAAACTGCAATGCAAGTTTCTGAAACAGAGTTGAAAAGCATTTAAAAAAAACTTCACCTCTGACAATGCAGAGAAAACTCAAACTCTCCAACTCACTCACCCTTTTTCTAGAACTGCTGTTTCTTCAGCTTCAATCGGTATCCATGAGGCCTGTTCATCTCTATGCATCTCCGAAGATGAGCAGACATCAAATGGTACTTTCTTTGTGTCAAGATCTAAGGTGATTGGGCTAGCTTCATCCAATAACATCCCAATTTGAATAACTCTAGAGGATGGCTGATTCAGTAGGCTTGCTGAATTTGACAGCTGTTGACCTGTCAGGTTTTCTCTTTCCTTTTCAACTGCTTTTGTTCCATACTTTAGTGAAGGAGGTGATTTGTCTGAGCAAACCTGTCCTGAATGGTGTAACGATGGAGCCCCATAAACAGAAGCTTCCTCTGGGAAAGACGGTACAATATGCACCATACTTGCAAGCCACTCTACAGCGATGGTGTCAATGATGAGGGGCCAGTACTGAGAGAAATGTTTGGACAAGAGAATTCCTTCATTTTATCTTTCTGAGGAGCACCATGTTTAGCAATTGCCTCTGGCCAACTCATTTCTTTGGGTTCAGAATCAAATGACACTCTGGAAGGCAAACCAATAACACTTGGCTGTGTTGGGCAACATGGCAGCAACTGTGCCATGACTGGATTTTTGTCCATGATGGCGTCACCATCTTGGGGTCGTGGAGCAGATGGAAATCCAGGGTTTAGGGCTTGTCTTGGACATGATGGAAGCATGCTCAACATTATTTCTATCTCCCTAATCGACATTTCCTGAACAGTGAAATCTTGCTGAATAACTACATACCTTCTGTGAACTGGTTTTTCCCAAATTACAATCCCTTCTAAATTCCAGCAATCATATTCTTTTCCCTTATTCTTTGCAGGTAAACCTGGGATTTTACTGTGTTCTGGGAAACTAGCAAAATATTTCAACATGCTGGGAGCCTCTTTCAACAAAGACTTCACTGGTCTCTGTTCTACCTTTGAGGGTATTCCATGAATAAGAGAGTGTTTGGGACAGGGCGGCAACATGGAAATCATAATTCTAACCAGTACCTTTTCTTTTAAATATGTCTTCATCAGGTCATGTACTAGTGGCAGTCTCCTTTGATTTGTAAATGGCCACTCATTCCAATCACTCCATTCTGCTTCATCAGAGTCATTGTGGAATCTGGAAGCTATTCCACAAACCCTAGATTGTCTTGGACACGTAGGCAGCAGGGTGACCATACTTGGTAAATGTTCCAACATCTGACATAGTTCTGATGGAAAGCCACTCAAACATGCTGTGTGAGGGCAGTGGGGCAATAAGGTCCTGTGTCTAAGTGGTAATCCAGGAACTCTTGATTCCTTGGTACAACATGGCGTTACGATCATTATAGCTGGATCATCAGCTAATGGGGTTGTCAAAAGAGAAGGAAACCCAGGCACACTAGAAATATCAGGGCAGGAGGGTGATAACGCATTCATCATTTCAGCAGACTTCTTATCAAATGACAGACCTGTAGTCAGGGACTCCACTTTCCTTTTTATAAATTGGTTTTCCAACTGCAAACTTTTAAAAGAAAACCATTCATTGCAAAGTTTTAAGTCAATCTTTGAAGGTAAACCTGGGACTCCACTATGCTTGGGGAACGAGGGAATTATATTTACCATACTGGGCCCTTTTTGTGGAGCAGAGGGTATGCCACAAACTTGGGCTTTTTGTGGGCAGGTTAACAACATATCTACCATATTGTGGACGGTTCCTGTGGCTTTTGGTATCCACTGAACAATGTAGGCTTGTGTTTTCTTTTCTGGTTTCTTATTGATGAATTTTCCTATGGCAGGCCAATCTATGTCATTTGACAAGTTTTGGTCATGTGATGGCAAACCGGGAGTTTTGGACTGTTTAGGACACATAGGCATCAGACTTACAATGCTGGGTATCACTTTCTGGGGTCTTGTGGGAATCCCCCAAATGCAAGTTCTCACAGGACACGAGGATGACATTGCTACTGAACAGAATATTTCTCTTTGGGGGGTAAAACTAGGAATGGTTGCCTTCAAGGGAGAAGATGACATCATATCCACCATTTGTTTTATATGTTCTTTGTCCCGGTATGACTTTTCAACTTGTCTATCTGTGATTAATTTCCCTGCAAAATGCCAGCCGTCATAATTTGCCATAACAACTTCTTTAAACGGCATACCTGCAATTGTTGTCTGTTTGGGGCATGTAGGGAGAAGACTTGCCATACTCGGAGTACTTGGAGCCTCCTGCAGTGGCACAGAAGGAAACCCTGGCACCCTGACCTTTGTAGAACACGTTGGCAACATGGAAACCATGGCTTTAATGATATTAGGATCACTGCCTACCAGCGCCTCAATACAAGACATGTCCAAAACAAATTCTTTTGTCTGCAACGGTAACTTCCACAGAGAACACCTGTCCCAAACACTCATGTCATAGCCCATCACTGTTTCAGAAGAAGCTAATCCCGGAATTTTACAAATTCTGGGACATGTAGGTAAAAGGTAGGTCATGTTTGGCTCGCGCTTCAAAGCAGAAGGAAATCCAGGAATACTGGCAGTCCTGGAGCAGGATGGGGTTAAGTCAACCATTTTAGCAATTTCTTTTCCACCTGTATAAAGTGAAGTAAAATAACCTGATTTCAGGAGTAAAGGAAATCTCTTGCTTGGTAAAATTTGAAAAGGTGAGCTCCATTTGGTAGGCCAATCTAAAAGTTGAGATTCATCGAATGATGGAACACCAGGAATCTTAGAAAATCGTGGGCAACTTGACTGAAACGTAATCATACTCTGTACTCTGACGGTTCCTTCGACCTGAGTTTCAGGCTTTACAGTGGAAGGTAATTGAGAAACAGCTCTCCCTCTTGGAGACAACTGACCAAGTTCCATCTTAGATTTGTATGCACACTTTTCCTCTATGCTGACTGCAGAGCTTGGTAACACAAGTTCCTGTGTAATTCTCCCATCCCTTTCACACAATTGTTTCTTATCAAAAGACCAGGATGCATTTCCAGTTCTCTCTTTTTCCAAACAATGTTCTTGATCTGAACCATGCATATCAACACTTTTTGTGACAGACAATTCAACTTTCACTTTAGCTCCTTCTCTCACTTCTGATGAATGGTCAGACATGGTCTTCTGTACTGAGGAATACCTTAGATGAGCGTCCAGTCTTGGAGGGGCTTGGTCAGAGGCAGATGTGCTGCACAGTGTTTGCTCTTCGATACTGAGTATTGGAATAGTAGGGCAAATTTCTTTAGTGTCGCCTTGGGGCTTTTCACTCTGTGGGTTTTCACAATGGACTGTTGTCCAAACTGAACTTCAGTTTTTGTGTTCATCACCATTGGCAGAAAAGCAGAATTGGCATCTCTGGGACGAGATGAACTGTTCTCATTTCTGAAGGAGTACACCAAAGATTGATGTCAGAACAGTAAGACTCATGTGCTTTAGAAATGTTTGAAAATGAATGAGCAAAAACTAATTTATTTATCATGATTGACTTTGGTACCCCAAGTCTAAACATTGATACAAACTTGTTGCATTAAGTTCTAAAGAGTTGGGATTTAACTAACCACACTAAACTTACCCATCGTCCATAGTTGCAGATTCTTTGTTCTGGCCCACTCCTATCCTTGAAACTGTTTTTGTGTCAGAAATTGCAGCAGTTTTAGGCAAATGCAACAAAGGTCCCTGGAGAGATCTGGAAGTAGGTTGTAGTTTGGTAGGAGAAACTGGTGTATGTTCAACGGGCTCTGGTTGGACTATCGTATTCACTAACTGAATGGACATCTTGGACTGATGACCTCTTGATTTATGTGAGAGCTCCTTGTCCGAGGCAGATGTGTGATCTTGGAGATCAGGGTTTCGCATAGTTGAAGAAGTGAAGTGAAAGGGAGGAACTGTCGGCTGGACGATTGGGAATGTCCTTGTTGGCCTTGATTCTGTCTGATCCATCTGTGTCTTAGGCATCTCAAAATACTTAACCCCTGGGGCTAAGGGTGTTGTGGGGTTTGGGGGTAAAAGTGAGGCCATACTCTCAGGCCTGAAGGACAAACAAATGAAGATTTGTTAAGACTCAAGGATTCACTCCAGTGCAGTTAGGCTGTGTGTCCACCAAAGCGTGTTGTTTCTGGAAGTCAACTTATTTTTTTCAATTCTTTGCAATGGCAGGGGGCCTTGTATTTAAATGACGATACAAACACCAGCCTCCCTTCTGTGCTCACTTTTGGTAAACTCGTCTACTATCGCCTTTTTCAATGGTCCAACCACAGTTCATGAGAGGGTAGGACAAATGCCAGAAAGACCAACTGTCACATCTACATGAACAAGTTCTGAACAAAAACAACATTAAGCAGCTGAAATAGTTTTGCAGGTCCTTCCTCTCTAAGTACCTGCCTTAGCCTTCCCTTCATTCAGAACAAGATCTGCAACAAGTTCTCTACCATGTTTACTATTGAATATAGCAAACAGATGCAACTGAAGCCTATTAGCTGAAAAATGGCTGCACCTCCAAAGCAGGCTGATTCAAAAGAACCCCTAGCGTTTTCAACTGGGAAACAATGATTTGGTGGACACAGGTCCTAATGCAGCCCATATCCAAGTAACCTTAACACCACACAAGCAAATGAGCAATGAGAACTAAAAAGTTCCATACACAACAGAAGTTTCACACCATACAGTGTAGCCAACCAAACAAGCATTATGTGATAAACCACAGTAGTAATGACTCGGTCTTGCCAAGCAGCAGCTTTTTAATAAATACTCTACATAAACCAGATCAAACACAATAATATGACTTTGAACAAGATGCCTTCAAAGTAAAAGAATCATTTTAAACAGATGTTGAGCAATTCCTTTCACAGCTCAAAAAGAAATATGACACCAAATTGCCATAGGAAACCATAGCTTTAGGGTAGCAAGCACAGGAAGCTGCAATACAGAGGCACAAAGTTTGCACCAGATTTTTAAAATAAACTCAGGTTTTTTCAAAGTCTTTGGATATCTTGGTGGTGGGCTTTTCATGCCTTTATTCCCGAGATGGCACAGTGGATAGAGTCTGAAACCAGAGAGAGACAGAGAGGGGAACGACATGCAGGAAAGAAGAAGCCACAGGTCGAATTTGAACCCGGGCCGTCTGCTCTCAAGGACTTAAGCCTGTGTACATGGGGTGCATGCACTAAACGCTAGGCTACCAGTGCCCTGACTCTGGAGAGCTTAATTTGATTTTCATTTCTGTAGTAAGAAATGTGAACCTGCATTACCAACCTCTGAATGTCAGTTTTGACAGCAGAAATTAACATGTTTACAGCCGGGTTGAAAAAATAATGTTTGTTCTGATTATGTCTTTATCAGCACACACAGTACAGAAGTTTATCTTTTGATAATTCACCAGTTTTTATTTTATGCAGAACACGAGTTTTGTGTAATTAGGGGCGTGGCCGATTTGACAGCTCTGTGCCTGTCGTTAAAATGAATGAAGGTTTGATAAGAGTCAGCATTTCCAATATGGCGACCACCATGGATAAGGCTTGCGAAACAGCCCTTCAGACACCAAAGGGTGACATCACTCAGGCTCCATGTTTATTGAACGTTTAAATAGACATGAATTTTTTTTTTTTCCGATTATGGCGAATCTTACTGGGGAAACATTTTAATTTCTTACAGTGACTATAAGGTTGCAAAGAGTTCTCTAGTTTTTTGCTTTAATTGATTAAATTAACACACATTTGATGCATACTCACTTTGAGCTCATTACATTTATTTGAAACCAACCAATGGTTAAAAGTGTTAGTGTATCTTAGTGGGGGGTTTGTTTCACAGCCATGCCACGCCAATCCTTAAGAACAATCAAACCTCGTAGAAGTGATGAACTCACCGTGCTGATGCTCTCACGACCTCGTATCCAAAATGTGCATCTCTTTTCCGTTCTGAGGCCCTGAACGGCTCTGACCTCCGGCCTGCAGGGGGTCGAGGATCAGAGGCTAAACAACAAATAGAAATGTAAAGTTAGCCTTGTGTTCACTGTATAAAGCTGCTGTATCACTGCTGCCTTGGTTTCTCATCATGCTCACTTGTTGGTATTGTACTCTGGTTGTCCTCTTCACTCAGCGTGCTCAGCTGTCTCTTAAATTCTAAAAAGAAACAGGAAAATATGAGAGAGAGAGTAAACACGATACATCAATGATGTATAATCTTGGATGGTCCTTTTGGATCCTGTACCTGCATCAGTGTCACAGGGGAAGGCTGAGGCAGTTTGGAAAATATGAGTCTGAAGAGGTGGAGGAGGAGGAGGAAGAGGAGCCGAAGGCCCACAGAGAACAGAATAAGGACTTAAAGAAGAGTGTGAGGGAGCCTCAACAGTTGGGGTGACATGGGGTCTCCATGAGGGGACGAACTCAGACTTTCCATCTAGTTTCTGCTCCACAGAGTGAGTGGTGGACAGAGAGAACGAAGCTGAGCGACAGGAAATGATGGGGTAAAGGAGCGAGGGATGATGGGAGGAAGAAGAAGACAGAGAAGAAAGTGAATGGACGGGAAATATGAAAGATTTTAAACTAATGCAGGCTTTACAAACTCAGACAGCAGACATTTTCAGGAGCCCTTTTCAGACTGCTTTTACTGCAAAGTACCGTTACTAAGCTCTGCCGTCATCATGTCTTTGTACGTTCATATTGATTGATTCTGCGGCGGCGTAATATTGGCGTCCCAGTCTCTGAGGTCACATTGCGTTTCAGTGTTGCGTAAGCACAGCAGGAGCTCCACATACACACACAGTCAGACATGCATACACACACACAGCGCTGTTCTCCCCCACTGGCTCAGCTGATCCCGTCTCTCCTCTGTAACACCTCTGAAGACGGTACAGAGGAGGGGTCAGGTTGCTCCCCCATTACGCCTCAGTGACATTCTAAATGAAGGAGAAATTGCGGCTCAAAACAGATGTATCTAGCTCAGAAGGTGAATAAAAACAGGGTGGAAGAGACAACATGCAAAACAACACAGCACATACGGCACAAGATCTGCAAAAACACAACATGGGAGAATTTAGAGAGTGAGCAGGAGTATCTGATGGTTTCAGTCCTCTCCTACACACGTCTGATGATATAGAAGTATTTTTTTAAAGCAATGCAACTGATCATCAAAATAACAGCGATGGTATCGTATTAAAACTCTAAAAGTATCAACATTTTGATGACCTCAGTGCCGCCACACTTTTTTAAAACATGCAGCGAATACTAAATGGAATCAAACATGCAGAATCAGAGGATAAATCAAAACAATGGATTAGTGACTGAAATGTTAGAAGAGGAGGCGGTGAGTGTAGATAGGAAAAGATCAAATATATGACAGGTTTAAGGCGAGCTTTAGGGAAGGTGAGAACATCAGGTGAATGGTGGAGCAGCATTACATGGCGTCTCGAGTCTCTGCTTTTTTTGCAGCACTGCAGGCTGAACGGGATCACTCGCAGAGAGACGCAGAAACTTGGGAGAGTGAACTGGCTGGGCTAACGGGGCCTGGGATTTAGGAGGCCTCCATTCATTCTGCCAGGAGGCTGAGGAAGAGGAGGGGGGGAGAGGAGGAGCAGGAGGAGGAAGAGGACGGGGGGGGGGGAGCAAGAGGGAGAAATACAGGTGAGGCGCAGTTACAGGTGTATGAATAAGTGTGTGACAGGATGAAGCTCCTCCTCCTCTCTGTACCTGTCTCGGGTGCAGACGGCAGACTGGTGGGACGGGTGAGGACAGAGCCTGACTCCCCCGCAGAGGAGAGGCGAGTTTTGGGCTGTCGGAGAGTAGGAGGAGGTGGAGGTAAAAGAGCGAAGGTGCTGAGGGGAGCTGAAGATGAGGAGGAGACAGAGGAAGAGGAGGGCATGCTCTGTGCACTCCAGGCTGAGAGAAGAAGACGAGAGAATAAATAAAAATCCAAAGCGTTCAGGAGCAGAATCTGAAGTTAGAAGGATGACATACTGGCTGCTGCATTGTTGTCAGAGAAGCCAGCACTTCAACATAACATGTTTCCTTAATGTCTGATCATATAGTAAGGTCACTTTATCATTTCAGTCTCTATACATCTTACTGACTGGATCTTTAAGTCTGTTATTTCAGTCTTTTCAACTAAATGCAGCGTTAACCTGTTGATGTGTCCTACCTGTCTGTGAGGTATCAAACACAGGGAGAGGAAATAGGGATGGATCAGAGGGTGCAGAGGACAGGGAGGAGCTGGAGAGGGCTTTAGAAGAAGGAGTGATGGAGGAGAAAGCTGTGGCCTCCAAAGCTTCAGCTGGAGAGGAGTCACAGTGGAAGCTGTGAGGCCTCCGAGGAGCTGAAGAGATGAAGGAGAAAAAACTTAAAGTGGATAAAAATAAAGGAGAAGAAAGAGGAGCAGGGTAGTAACAGTGAACATTTACAGAATGATAACATCCAACCAAACGGCATGTTATCACCTCTCTGACGTTAGTCAGTGTAAAACTTTGTGCAGAAAATGAATGAGTTATCATCCTATTCTGAATACAGATCTACACCAAAATATTTGAGATTTTAAAACAGTGTGCATGAACACTTTCAGGCAATACACTATAAATATTACTGGACACAGCCTGAGTGACGTCTCCCGTCTGTTCCTCCAGGGGGAGCTGGAGTCCCATCGATGGTGGTCTCCATGCTGGAAATGCTGTCTCAGTCTAACTTTCAGTCAACCTAACAACAGGCTAAGATCTGGAGCTGAGGTGGGTTTTAAGCCTCCTGACAAACCGTTACATCGCGCCCACCTGTCAATCAGGTCAGCTACACGCCTTATTGTGAATAACTCTTATCCTTCATCAAATCAAAACTGATGAGTCATCAAAACATTCACCCCCCCCGTACAGTGTGTGTCGATCAAGACATGAGCTAATCAGACCCATTTGTTTTTTTGGACCAGGCTGTAAACATGTTAATCTCTGCTGTAAAAACAGGCTTTTTGAATGGGTGTGTATGTGACTTCCTGTGCTTCTGCAGCCAGCCTCTAGTGGAAACTCAAGGAACTGCAGGATTTTACACTTCAGCATCGGCTTCATTTTTCAACACAGGAGGTTTGGGCATTGATCCCCTCATAAATTACAATCCGCTCATAATCCCTCCAGATGCTCATATTGAACCTTAAAGGGTTAAATGCAAAGTGCCTCAAATATGAAAATGCACACCAATGAGGCAGAAGGTTTTCTACAGATGATTTAAGCCTTGCTTCTGCAATGTTGTAAAGTGATATGAAACCACAGACTGGGACTAAAATATTACGCCATCACTGAATCTCTTTTAAAGTATAAAAACAGCTGCACTGACCAGGGGAGTTTCCCCCTGCTGGACATTAGAAAGAATGCATGCATTGGCATTCATTTAACAGACTTTACAGGTTTGTCTGCCTCTCGTCTAGTCTGTTATTAACGGCTTGTTTTTAGATCTGAGTTCTTTGAAATGATGTCTTTTCATTTTCCAACTTTTTGTTTAAAAAGACAAATCCGTTAAATAATCCGACTTGGGAGACACCACACAGAATAAAGACATTTGTTGCTCGATACCTGATCCGGCACCTGGCTGGAAGATTTTGGGGAGAGCGGGAGGGTGAGCTCGGGTGAAGGCGGGCAGTGAGTAGGCGTAGATGGAGGGCCGAGCCTGCTGGGTGGAGGTCGGGGAGTGAGAGTGTAAACAGGAGGGGACAGAGGAGAAGGGGGGCTCAGGCAGAGGAGGACAAGATGGGACTGAGATGGGGGAGGAGGTTTTCCAGTCCATCTCTGAGGTGACTGGATGAGATGGAGGGATGCATGGAGAGCAGGAGGAGGAGGAGGAGGAGGAGGAGGAGGAGGAGGAGGAGGAGGAGGAGGACAAGGATGAGGATCAGGAGGAGGAGGAGGAGGAGGAGGAGGAGGAGAGAACCAAAGAGTAAATGGAGGTGCAGATGTGAAATACAGAATGAAAAGAATGAATACAGAATGAAAGTTGAAATGTAAGAATGAGGTTTTGCAGCCTATATAAGAAGAGAACTGAGCAGTGTTTGGGTGATGCATTTTTGAATATCTCTGGCTCATGGAGAAAACAAAGGACAGATAAAATCTGTGATGGTGAGAAACGTTCTCATGTGAGCACAGTATTTGCTGGTGAGCACGGGATAGTTTCAGGTCGGCATCAGAAACTAGTTTTTCTATTTTTTCCTCTTAAGCAGGGTGTACAGTACTTTTTATGACGTCATAAGTCGTGCAGTGTAAACCAAACACAACGGGCGATCACGGTTCGATCAGCTGCTTTCGGACATGTTTGATATTTTGGTAGTATGACTGCTCACACCCACACAGAGAGAGCAAAGACACAAGATCATTCCCCAACTTCAGGACTTTTCCTTTTACTGATTACAGCTGCACAAACTGACAGACGGTGTCAGAAATCACCATGGCAATCAGTCTTCCCCCTCCGATCACGAAAGAAACGTTGGCAGGAAATATCTGCAGACCTCCAGCTGACAGAGACTATTTCTTCTGATATAGCTGCTAGCTAGCTCCTGATTATCTGTGATGCTGAGTGAGAGAGTGAGAGAGAGAGAGCGAGAGAGAGCGAGAGCGAGAGCGAGAGCGAGAGCGAGAGCGAGAGAGAGAGAGAGAGAGAGAGAGCGTTTTGCTGGTGTGTGTATTTGAGCCGTGAATAATAAATACACATATCTTACTTCAACCTCCGTCTGTGGTTCTTTTCTACTGACAGTAGTGAACGCTCCGTCCTGATTGAACGCGTACAGTGTGAGGACATAAATCGTGAGCTACGGTTGTGCGTCGTAATGGATTCAGTCGTTCAGAGTGAGCCGACATTCTGCCACGACTTTTCTACAATCGTACGCCTTCAGGGAGTACGTAAAAAACAACAACTAAATCAGAAATTGCAGACTCTCTCTCGTAAATGTTTGTGTTATTAAAAGGTCACTTTGGAGTCGTAGAGGGAGCGGAGAGTTACCTGTGGGTCCTGATCCGACCACGGGCCTCCAGGCCAGATCATGAAGTCTGTTTGCAGAAGAAGCTGACATGAAGAGAAAGACGAAGAGCAGAAAGAAAGACGATGTGAAAAGGGAACAGAAGAGGAAGGCACAGGGTGAGAGGGGGACAGAGGATTTGTGGACTCTCCTCTGAAATCAAACACCTGTCATGGTGTCAACGCCGCAACATCAAACACCTGGCATGGCATGAACGCTGCAACGCACAGGTCATTCATTCTTTGCTAAAAGTAGAGCGGCCATGTGGGATTCCTGTGATTGGCTGCTTTGTTCCTGCTAACGACGCTCCCTCTCCTCCTTCTCTTACCCGTAACATGAGGAGACTGTCCACTCCCAAAGCTCGACCTCTTCTCCTCGCCGCCGGCGCCGCCGCCGCCGCCTTCGTCATCACTGTCATTGAAGTCGTCCATGTTCCCGATGTCGTTCATTTTTATACTCATGAGACTCGCTAAGCTCTGCATGTCCTCGTCTCTGTGGGGAGAAGAAAGGGAATCATTTAATAATATGAAGTAACATCTGTGATCCATCAGAAGAACAATCCACCGGCGGTCTGACGACTCACGTGGCTTTCCCCTCTTTGAGAAACACACAGGACAGGTTGAGTTTCAGCGTGGCGTCGATCACTTTGACCGAGAGCGGTTTGAGCTTCAGGGTGATGTCGAACTGAGCCGGCGTCGCACTCGCAAACTTCTTCATGTTCACGTCAGCCGAGGCCAAAACCTTCCTGCGACCTTTAGTCTCCTGGTGAAGAGAATCAGACGACAAATTAAAAAAACCTATTAAAGACAGTCAGCAGCTTGCTCCTTCAAAATAAAATACAGAGCTTAAAGATAGAGTCAGCAGCTTGTTCCTTCAAAATAAAATACAGAGCTTAAAGACACTAAGCAGCTTTGTCTTTCAAAATAAAATACAGAGCTTAAAGATAGAGTCAGCAGCTTGTTCCTTCAAAATAAAATACAGAGCTTAAAGACACTCAGCAGCTTTGTCTTTCAAAATAAAATACAGAGCGTTCCTTTAGTCCTCTTGTACCTGCAGGACGGAGTCACAGACACATTTCCCTTTGGGGACACTCAGTGGCGATTCTAGAGTCAGTTGGGGCCCAAGGCTAAAATCAGCTGGGGGACCCTCCAACCAACTTTCAGCAGGGCAATGAGAGTGAAGGCTGTCAGATGGGGCCATCTTAGGTTTTTCTACTGTCATTGAAAAATGTGCACATTATGGGTCGCTGCTTTAGTGTAAATTTTGTCAGCCCTCTGGGGCCCCAAGCAGTTGCCTGCCTTGCCTGTTGACAAGCAGCGCCTCTGGGGACACTAAATGTTTGTCATGTTTCCCCCTCCACAGGTTTACATTTTCTCACTTTGCAATGTTCAAAACTCTGCTTCCTCGGACGCTGATAGCCTAGCGGGGTGTCATGAAATGTGGATTTGTTTGTCAAAATTGGTTGTAATATTATTTTCTGATGTTGGTTCGAATGCAGCTTCCGCCCTCTGCTGCATGTCATCCCCCCGCTCTCTCTCTCCTCCCAACATTTCCTGTCTCTCTACAGATGTCCTCTCTGCTTCCCCTTCAGTCTCACACACATTTAGAAAAGCAAACATTCAGCAGACTCACATTTTCGATGACAAAGGTCCAGTCCTTGTCCTCAAACTCGTCTGCAGTCGGCTCCTGTGGACGGACAAGTAAAGATGCTAATGCATGTCTTATCTGCAAACTGAGTAATAAACAAACTGGGGACGTCTCTGTGTACCTTAAAGAGTGTGACAGTGATGTCTAAACTCTCTGGAACCTGCCACAGCACCACGCCTCTGTACGGGTTCTTAATCCCCGGCTGCCAGCCGTGGAGCTGAAACAGAACAAATTAAAAGAAAGTTCAATATCTGAAGGTTGTACTTAAGCGTCTGCAGAGCACTTCATGAACACCAGACCAAAACAAAACCCTAAAGCATTTCTTTACCTTTGTGCTGTGACGTCTGTTCCTCCGGATCCAAACCACACGCAGTTTGTCTGGTTGCCTGAAAACAAAGCAGAGGTCAAAAACATTAAATTATTTAAATCCAGCTGAAATATATAAATACGATCATCAACGACATCTTTAACTACAGAGGTCTCTGCATGAACGTAGCATCTGGAGGTAAAGTCTCTGACATCTCTCTTATGAGACAGAGGAGGCCCCCACAGAGCCAGGGTGAATGAGGAGCTGATCCCCTCGTGGTCAGGTGATAAATGGAGCATCATCAGGAGAGACCGCACAGAGAATTTTTACGTGAATGTGTCTTGAAGTGTAAAGAGACGTTTTTCATTATAAATGAGACGTGTGATGAGATTAGAGGGTTCACAGTAACGTTTTTTATAAGTCTAAGGACAGGCCGAAGCCGTGTGTCCTGAGAGCTAAGTGCAAAGGTTTGTGTGATGGTTTCATGAGGTCCGACAGGTACCAGGGTGTGAGCCTCTTTCTCTAAATCGTTGTAACTTAAACTCCGAGCTGAGAGATCAGGCTGTCTGAGAAAGGACGCTGAAACTGTTGCGATCTGCTGAAACTCCTCACTCAAATCCCCCCAGCAAGCTCTGGGTCTACCCCGGGGTCTCCTCCCAGTACGGCATCCCTCCAAAGGGAGGCGTCCAGGTGGATCCTAATCAGATGCCTGAACCACATCACCTGGCTCCTTTCGATGTGAAGGAGTAACGGCTCTACTCCAAGCTCCTCCCCCTCTCTCTAAGGCTGAGCCCAGACACCCTCCAGAGGAAACTCGTTGCATCCGCTTGTATCCACGATCTTATTCTTCCGCTCACGACCCAAAGCTCATGACCACAGGTGAGGGTTGGTTACGGAGCTCGACGGGTAAATCGAGAGCTTTGCCTTCAGCTCAGCTCCCTCTTCACCACGACGGTCCGGTACAAAGCCGGCACTCTTACCGTCCATCTGACCCTCACTGTGAACAAGACCACAGATACTTAAAGTCTTAATGTATGTTATTACAATAATCCTTCTAAAACTCTTTGTGGCTGCATGAACCCTTCTTTAATGATCACATAATTCACTGATATGAAAACTGAGTTCAGAAGAAGAGCAGAGACCCTGCAGCTCGACAGCGAACACACAAACTGATCAGTGTGAGGCGAGGAGCTCGGCCAGCAGAAAATCTAAATCCTGTGACTCTGAGTGGAGTGAGTGATGGAGTCAGTGTGCTCAGGACAGACAGGACTGTGTGTGTGTGTGTGTGTGTGTGTGTGTGTGTGTGTGTGTGTGTGTGTGTATGAATCACTTTATGAATGCTGGGAAACAAACTTCCTCCTGTGAGAGAGGGATTAGTGGATTAGGAATTATTGTGAGATTGAAATGAAGACGCTGATGTGAAAACAGCTTCAGGTGTCGTTACAACATGTTCTGTTTAAATCTTCCCATCGTTCAGACGGACACGGTGGGAACATTCTGATGCAGGTAACAAAAACATCTAATCCAAGACAACACAGACTGTAAACAGAGAGACAGTGAAGTTGTTTGGACCAAGCAGCATCCTCCGATGTTGAAAAATTAAGCCGATGCTGAAGGGTAAAATCCTGCAGTTCCTCGAGTGTCCACTAGAGGCTGGCTGCAGAAGCACAGGAAGTCACATACACACCCATTCTAAAAGCCTGTTTTTACAGCAGAGATTAACATGTTTACAGCCTGGTTAAAAAAAACAGACAGGTGCTATTAGCTCATGTCTCAATCGGCACACACTGTACAGGGGGTGAATGTTTTTATGACTCATCAGTTTTGATTTGATGAAGGATAAGAGTTATTCACAATAAGGCGTGTAGCTGACCTGATTGACAGGTGGGCGCGGTGTAACGGTTTGTCAGGAGGCTTAAAACCCGCCTCAGCTCCAGCTCTCAGCCCGTCGTTAGGTTGACTGAAAGTTAGACTGAGACAGCATTTCCAGCATGGAGACCACCATCGATGGGACTCCTTCGTCTCCTCTCACTTTAACAAACTCTCAGACAGCTCAGCTGATGAATCTAAAGTAATATCCACCTTATGACATCACACATTGACCTTTGTTACCGCTCCTTTGAGCTGTTTGACGTCAGTTTGGGATCCCTACCCACTTCCTGTTTTTGTGCCTAACTTCCTGTCCTAACCTTCCATCTACAGGAAGGGCCTTACTGTATTTCAAAATAAAAGCATTGCAGCAAGTAAAGTACACTCAGCTTAAGACAGGACAAAAATACAAAATAAAAGCCTAACAATTTTTAAAAGTGAAATAAAAACATGCAATTAAAAATATGATTTATCGAGATTAACTGTTGAAATATAGTGATTAATTGTTATTAAAAGTTTAACTGTTTGACAGCCTTTATTATTAGTATCTTCTGGTAAACCTCTGAGCTCCTCATGCTGCAGGCTCCTGCTCAGTGTGCGCGGTGAGACGTGTTCAGAGAGAGAGAGGACAGAAATAAACAACGTCTGCCTCTCTGGACTTCACACAGGCTTTATAGAAATCCAACACCTGCTGCAGCTCTGTTTACCTCAGTCATGATCCTGTGCTGTTTAAAGACGGTGACCTACTAATGTTTGAAGGAGCCAGGTGTAACTGCTACTACAGAAAACACTGCATGCATATAACCTTTATCAGAGCTTTTAATTTGAAATACAACATGTTTAAAGGTGGAGTCCGTAGAAATGTTTGTAAACACAACTGTAAAACTGGGCCCCTCCTCCTGAAGCCATGCCCACTCACTGCAGGACGTAGTGTGTACGTTTACTGCTTGTACCTACACTGCAAGCTAACACACGCTAGCACAAGCTAACCGCCAGTGTTTGTCACCTGCCTGTCCAACAGGTAGCAGACCAACTCCACGTCAACACAAGGTTCACCCTCGTTTTAGAACGAGCTTTATCCGCTTGGTGTTTCTCCTCACTGTGATTATATTTTCTCTTCTTTGCTGCTACATCCACGTCCGTCATATTCAACGATTTGAATGGCGTCCAATCACTGAATTGTATGAACTCCTAAACTCACCTGCTGCGCTGTCATTGGCTGGAGGAAACACACCAGCTCCGCCCAGAAACGTCCCGAGTCAACCAGAACAAACCAGAACAGTAAAATCCAGTCAGAGGACAGAGTCTCTGCAGACACAGTCACCACCACACATGTATGGAGGCCCAGAAGGGACGATGCAGCAGCTTTACTTTAGGAGAAGTCTGTATTTTATTTTGAAGGAGCAAAGCTGCTGACTCTGCCTTTAAGCTCTTCCCGAGTGAACGCTGCAGGCTGTGAGAGAAACACTGCTGATCATAAATCTTCGACATATTGAAACTCGCCGTCTAAACGCTCAGATTCTTAACTGCTGCAGCGTTTCTCTAATCAGATGACGGAGACGGCCGGTCCAGCTGATCCACATTTTACACATTCTTTTCATAGACTCGGAAACACAACGGTGATGTCACCCATACTGTCGGCCAACAATGTGTTTTGTTTACATTTCAAAGCCCCTGCAGGTCCAAACAGCACGTCTCAATCTTACTCAAAGACAGGGCCGTCAGGATCCTCAGACTTTAAACTGTGATATGATACATGTTCTGATACCACGGCAACAAAAGGAGAAGACGCCGATATTGGGAGATTTATTGTTTCCAACTCTGACAAATGAAATGACACTTCTCTGTCTCTGGTTTCTGTCTTTCTGCATGCACATGTAGAGAGAAAGTGTTTTCTGCTCTGTTTTCAGCATGACACTTTGCTGCCTTCGTTTATGTTGAAGGCCGACTTCACACCAGACGGTTTCCAAATCTTAATTGATGTTAAAAAATGTTGGAGACCACCGACATGAGAACACACTAGACATCTCAGACCCCGAGACCACACACCTGCTGTTTGTAGAAACGATGTCACACACACGAGATCTCACAGAAACCCGCGTGATCAGACGTGACAAACAAGGAGGACGATGGACATGGCCAGCTGGCTGTGGTCAGCTGGCCGTGCGTTCAGTTGTGCAGCTTCTTCTTCGATGTTCCACCTGTCTCGGGGCTCAGGTGTGGTTCTTTCAGTTGTGACAACGTTACAGAAAGGATCCCTACAGAGCGAGACCTTTTTGTCACAGAGTTTTTAAACCACACACTCTACAAACACACCGGATCTCTGGGAATATAGACATATTTGAAGCGCTGTCCTGGCTCTTTCTGCCTACACGGTTGAGTTGTGGGGGGTGAAGGGGCCATGTCATAGGATAGGTAGTGTTAGCATTGTCACTACCTGGAGCTCGCATCAACACAGCCTGTCTGTTGACGGTGGCGATGCTGATTTGGTTGCGGTGGCGACTAAGGTCCATTGTCCACCTCACGTTTTTTTCCGGTCAGAAAAGCGCTGGCTGTGCGCTTGGGAGTGTTTGTGCGCTGAGAAGAAAAACGCTGCACGTCCGTCTTGTCTCTATGACAACTCCTAAGGTAGGCTATGTGAGTATGAGTCGGGCTTAGTGGGGTTATAGGGGGTCATTATGGGGTCATTATGGGGTCATAGGGGGGTCATTGGGATGAGGGGTGTCTTCACTGAGTGCTTATCCTTTCATCAGGACACAAGTAGCTCAAGTCCATTTCAAATCAAACACTGATTTTGTAAATCTTCATTTTGATTAACTACCAGTAAACTTCTTCTTTTCATTGTTTATATTTTATTCACCACCTTAAAAAAGGAAGCTAACCTTAAATCACCCCGTACAGAAAAAGACCCAATATAAACATTGTGAGCTCATGTCATTGCTGAGTGTGTGTTACATTAACTGGCGGTTGTTCCCTTCACATCGTCTGTTGTATCAAACACACGTAATGAATGTTGAGCCTGAGGGCAGAGGTCATCTGGAGACGAGTGCATCACGGTGTTGCTAAACAGCGAGTACGTCAGCTCAGGCGTGTTCTCACTAGTCTGTATGAATGAAAGTTCACTGAAGAGGAGAGAACTGAACCACATGAAGTGAGTCGACGATATACAAGCCGAGGCTGGAGGATTTGAGGACGTGCTGACTGCACCGTGACTAATGGAAATGGAATTAAAGGAAGTCCTGCAGAGCCAAGACTGCAGCCGCTCACACACTGTCAGAGCGTCATGTTCATTATGATGTGGATGAACGTCGGGGAGCCGACATCCAGCTCCAAACTCGGATTGTTTCCATCAGAATCCTGCAGAACGTGCCCGTGTACATTGGGAAAATAAAAATCAGACATGAAGGTCCAAAAATATATATATTTGATACCACTGTCCTTTTCTTATTTTGAGTGTAGAGAGTAGAGTGTAGAGTTGGAAATCAGAGAGAGAGAGAGAGAGGGGAATGACATGAGGGAAGTAGCCACAAGTCGGATTTGAACCCAGTCTGCCCGCTTCAAGGACTACAGCCTCTGTACTGCAGTCTCTGGGGCATGCAAACTAACCACTCGACCACCGGCATCCCCGCTGCTCACTCCTTGCCTTGAATCTTTGAGTGTTTTCAATAAAACCAGCAGCCTATACATTTTTACAAAATATCACCTGTTTCTTTAAGAGAACTATTTTGACATAATGAGAAATAGCTGTTTACAAAGTAATGCTATGGGCGCCAGATAGCCTAACCCCATGTACAGAGGCTGTAGTCCTTGTCACAGTGGGTGTGGGTTCGAATCCCACCTTGGATAAAGACACTGCATTCGAAGTTACTCTCGGGAGGTCTGAGCCTTCATCTGGAAAAATAAACCTTCAAGTGCATTTTGGTAGAAGTTTTACAAAGTGTTGATCCGAGTTCTCATGATGGAGAATTTAGAGCAATAACACCCGGCAGGTTTCCGGGTGATGGGGCCCCGGTATGAGACTCTTCAGGGGCCCCTGAATCCCTAAGTGTGGCCCTGGTGATGCTGAAGATGTGGATGAAGAAACTCTCTTGTGACAGAGGTTAGTTAATATAACTGATTTTTTTACAACACTAAAGCCTGCATAGTGAACAGGATGCTACCACACTAAACACATGCAAAACACAGACACGGAAGTAAGCGAGTTATTGGGGCGTGATTAAATGTGATTATTAATATCAACATAAATAAACAAACTGTCCCACTAGTTACACAATTAATTCAGATTAAAAATGTAATTTTAATTTAACATAATTAATGAATTACTTCGCGGAATCAAAAGGAATCCTTTAAAAACTCCCAAACGTAACTCCATACAACATCTCATCTGCTTTTGGTGCAGATTCCGACCTCCGATGTTTGCCATTATCGTGTCGTAATAACAATGAAATAGTACGATTATTAGTTGCATTTTCAATTTTAATAAAATAAATATTAATTCGGCTATTGGTGGCACACTGACAAGAGTCTGAATGAGCCATTAAAGGCGGTTTCATCCTACAGCGAACAGGCAGTTTAATTTAGATTTTTCTGAGCGGGGTTTGGCATCACTTTCTCCTCTCGAACATGATGACGCTGAGTCCCTTTAACACTAACAGGGACACATTAGGAAGGTTTTACCAAACCAAACATAACACCCATCCCTTGTGTTATCCGTGTAAAGTGTTATAACCATTACTCACCATTTATTCGTGCACTCTATCGTCAGTTCTTGAAACGAAGCAGCAAACTGGAACTTCGCCGCTTTCTTTCCGACCCGCTGGAGTCTCTTCCACACAGAAGTCATGTTCACGATGATGATGAAGAAGAAGCGACATTAACGTGAAGTAATCCGGTAACCGTGTGCGTATGTGGTGATGTCCCTCCGCGGGGACTACACCGGGGGAAGTGAAGGGTCCACCTGCCTCTCTGACAGCTCCATACACACACTGAAACACACACACACCTCTCAAAGCAACACACACTTACAACACACACACGCCCCAAACCAGAGAGAGAGCTGTGAAGCTCAACATCATGAACCGGAATACGGATGAAGAAAACTTTCAAAATAAAATACGTGCCCCTCCAGTCGGTCCAAGCCGCAATTTCATGTGTGGTGAGGTTCCTTTGTCACGTTAAAAACACTATTTGTTCTAAAAGTAGTTTAATTTTTAAAGTTGTTTTCATCTGCTCCTGCAGGGGGCGCTGGAGTCCCATCGATGGCGGTCTCCATGCTGGAAATGCTGTCTCAGTCTAACTTTCAGTCGACCTAACCACAGGCTGAGAGCTGGAGCTGAGGCGGGTTTTAAACCTCCTGACAAACTGTTACAACGCGCCCACCTGTCAATCAGGTCACCTACACGCCTTATTGTGAATAACTCTTATCCTTCATCAAATCAAAACTGATGAGTCATCAAAACATTCACCCCCCGTACAGTGTTTGTCGATCGAGACATGAGCTTATCACACCTATTTGTTTTTTTGAACCAGGCTGTAAACATGTTAATCTCTGCTGTACAAACATGCTTTTTAGAATGTGTGTGTATGTGACTTCCTGTGCTTCTGCAGCCAGCCTCTAGTGGACACTCGAGGAACTTCAGGATTTTACACTTCAGCATCGGCTACTTTATTAAACACAGGAGGATGCCGCTTTGGGTGCAACAATAACTTAGCAGGTCATAAAAATATTTAAGATGAACAACATACACAACAAAGCACTTCTGTTTTGTTTTTTTCTACGTGGGGATTCTTTTCATCGAGGTGTTTCCAGTCATGAACAGAGAAAAAGAAAAGGTACAACTCACTGGATGGTGTGTATAACTATGACCATTGTGTTTAATAATAAAGTTTTATTTTTTTTATTTCTGGTTGGCCCATGCAGGAACCCTTACGTTTGTTTGTTTTTTGTTTATTTCAGTCCAAAAACATCAAATTTAAAAACAAATGTAATCTCAGATATTTTGTTCCACTTGAAGGTCATCACTTCCTGTTTCTCTTCAGTTTGTTGTTGCTGACTTGATGCAGCTGAGACAGCTCTGAAACAACATGCTTGACTTTACAAGTCACACCTAAATGACTTCATATTCTGCAGGACTGTTAAATATATAAATGAATGTTGAAGCTTTCATTAGGGCTTGGTTCGCTGTACAGAAGGTTACTTTAAATATTCTATATTAAGACTTTCTTCTTGTCTGAATCAGACTCCTATGAGTGACTTGAAACATAAACCAGCTGTAATCCTGTTTAAGAAATCCCCCACAACAAACAGGTGATGATTGGTTCCCATGAATCCGTGTTTATGAACATCATCAGGGACTTAACAGGAAACAGAAATTACCTGTGAGTCTGTCACAGAAAGTTTGACCCCCCGCCCGCCTGTCACGAGTCATGAGGGACTTCACCAGTTGAGCTCTGAGTCTATTTTTAATCAGCCGCTGACACATGGAGCAGCTGGGAAGATAATGTAGCATCTGAAAGAACACACAGATAAACACCCTGAAGTATAAACAGAGAAGTACTCAAGTACTTTGACTTCGTAAAATTCATACAAAAAGGACAATTTATAAACAATGCATCGGATCTCCAACTGTCCTGTCTCTTCTTCGTGGTACTACATGAAGTGCATAAACAGGATGTAGATGAACAATAAAACTTTCAACTTTCTATGAAAGCAGCGTGCAGACGTTTTACCATGTGGACCAATATAGGACCGTTTTTAAAAAGTATCTAAAGCTCATGAAGTTTCTACACGTTTCTGAGCGCCTTGCAGCATGCAAAACAAGCTAACATACGGGGGCGCTGGTAGCCTATTGGTTAGTGTGAACGCCCCACGTAATGAGGCGATGGTGCTTGAAGTGGGCAGCTTGGGTTCAAATCCTTTGACCCTGATGAAGGTCACAAGCAGAAACGCGTCCGCTTAATTTGTTAATTATGTTGATCTTCTTCTACAAGTGTTGCTGGAGCTTTCTGACCGCTTCATGCACCTTGTTAGTTGGTAAAATTGTACCAGAAAATCCGGCTCTGCTTCTTCAAATCCTTTCCCGCTTGTCATTCATCTCTCTCTCTCTTTCTCGCAATGATATCTGACTCTATCCACTGTCCCACCTCTAAATAAAGGCTTAAGAATGAACCTTATAAATTAACAACAAGTTAATTTTCATCAGCTAAGAAACAGAGAGCTTTAACAATGATAAATAAATATGATCGGGCCAAGTATTGAGCCCTGTGGAATCCCACAATGAATACAAACAAAAAAGAAGAAACAAAGCAGCTGTATAGTTACATTACTATAAGACATGCAATCTATGAAATTATATACAACTTGTGAGAATGCAGCCAACAGAAATCTAGATTGGCATCCTGGATTCGATTAATACAACGGCAAACAAACACTTTGTCTAAAGTATTTCAGGGAATGATGTCAACAGGTCTCGTTTCAGCTTATTATCATGTTAGGGGCTTCACAGGTCGCTGAAAATGTGTAATAAAATCAGGGGGTAACATGATTGGACCAGATGTCCTGCAGATTAAAAAGACACCAGCTACACATTCTTACACTCTCACATGCTCATTCATTGATGAGTGTTTCATCAGACTGCATTAAGTCCCTGATGTTTCTGTTTTGGGACTGTACCTCCCTCCCTGTCAGTGTCCCTCATCCTCCTCGTCCTCCCGGCAGGTTTATCTGCAGGCGTGTGGGGAAACAGCTGCATCTGGGCGTCAAACATAAAGCAAAGAAAGGAGGAAGAACAGAGCAGAGGGGAGTCTCCACATGTGGGAACAGCAGTTTCTTAAAGCTGGTGTTGTGTTTGTGTTTTTTTCTGGTGAGGTCATGTTTATCCGAGAAACTATTCTGTTTGTTTTTTTGCATTTCCTGCTTCCTGTGGGTCAGTGGCAGCTCTTCATTTGGACATGATGGAGTGGGTCAAATTAAAAGGGGGGTTTCCTTTATCTAAGACCCTCACAGTTCAGAGACCGTACACTCAATTACAGACATACCAGAGAAAATTCATCCAGGGAATAAAAAGCAGCTTTGTTTTAAGGTTGATGATATTTTTAAATCAGGCCTGGGTTTCTGAGGATGGAGGGGAAGGGGTCATGCATGGTGGTATTTAGATGGGGAGGGGGTCATGGTGGTAACTCGAGGTGAGGTCATTCCTAAACAATCCACTTCCTGTCTGCAGGGCAGTCAGTGGGCATCCTGTTTGGAGTCCAGGGCTTTCAGTGTTAAGTACATTTAAAACCACATAAAAGGCCAACGTGGGGAGATTGACGATAAAGTTGATTTCTTTACATAATCAACCAGATCAACGGGTAGGCATGACCTTCATCCACTTCAGGTTGGCTTCATACACAACGATTTAAGGCTTGACTTTAGGTCGATCCCCCGCCCCCCAAACTTAGACATAAGGACAGTTGGACACGTCGACTTGGTGAAATATGGATGACCATCGACGTCCTCAGGCGGAATGAGACATTATAAAGGCACTAATGTTGTTGCCATACTCCACAAGCTGCTCTTCTTCTTCAATATTCCACTTGGCTTGGCGCTCAGTTGTGTTTATTTTCACTGCCATGTTTGAGAGCTGTAAAAGTACACAACATCCGGTCTGCTCGCTCTCATTGGCTGTATTCTGGTGGAGCCCGATCTAGAGTTGTAAGGGAAGGTTCTGAGTTGATCAGGAGCAGTAAAATAATCATATTGACACCACTCACATGATCGTTGGAGGGTATATAAGGCTGATAATCGTCTGGTGCGTAGCCAGCCTAAAGAGATAAGTTTTACAGAATGTAATCCAATATTTACAGTTTGAACTAACACAAATTGACTCCAACAAAAAGAACAGCTGCCATTTCTCTCTCTTGTGTTTTCTACAGTTCATCTGAGTGAACAATGTTTTCTAAATGAACCCGACACAATCACTTTCTCTCCAGGTATGGATGAACATTTCAGATTAACGAGTGGGGGAGCAATCAGGCGCTCTGTCGGTCTCCTGCCCCAGTTTCATCTCTGACCTTTGTAAAAATAGCCGAGCTCAGTGAAACACCTGTGAGCTGTCTGTCAGGGGGCTCAGAGAGGGCGACAGGCAGCCACAGCATTCTCCACGTTAATAATAAGGTCACAGAGCATCATGGCGTCCCTGCAGCATGACGCAGCAGTCAGAACGACGGTCACATGTTTGACCTTTGTGCAGACTTGACACTCGATAATACGTTGGCACGTTTTGGAATGAAAGGACAAGTTGTTACGGATGATTTGTTTTCTTTTTAATGATTGCAAATATTGACTGTGGTTATAAAAGTGAACTGAAGATTCTAGTGTTTGAAAGTGTTTGAAGAAAGAATGAACAGCTTGTCCGTGTGGTTGTATCGGCTGTTGCTTTGGGATTTAGGGCCGTTACTAAAGTAGTACCGTATCGTTGCTATGGGCTTAAGGATAGAAAGATATTCTGCTTATTCAGCAGCGTTGGAAAGTTTTTTGTTGTGGTTGCTGCAGGGGTATTTAAGTTGATGTATTGTTTTCTCTGGGCAATTTTTGACAGATATTTGTTGGTGGTTGCAAGATGGATTTGGTGTCTGAAAAGGGGTTCTAGGGGGTTTAGAGGGTTGCCATGGTATTCTGGGAAGTTGCTAAAGTATTAGTTGCATGAGTCATTGCAATAGAGTAATTGCACAGATATTCACAGGGATAGATGGGTTGTTTTGGGAAGTTTTCATGTTTTACTGGTGGTTACTTTTGAGTTCTTGGAAGCCAAGTAGATGCTTGGAATTAGATTTTAAAGTAGTTGCGAGAATATCAAGGGGGTGACTGGTTGTTCTTGGCAATTTCTACAGTTTTTGGGGTAATTGATGTAGGTCTAAATGGGTCTTAAGTTCCTTGAACCTGGGTTTAAGGCAGCTGTAAGGACATTCTCGTAGATATATATAAAGGCTATCCCAGGCAATTTTTGTTAGATTGCTATTGGTGGTTGCAAGATGGATGCCCAGAGCCCGCAACAGGGTTCTAGGAAGTTGCACTGCTTTCCAGCTTTTTGATTGGCTATCAGGGGGTGGCTTTGGTGTTCTGGGAAGTTGCTGAAGTAAAACCAGTAGTTGCATGAGTCTTTGAGATTGAGCATTGCACAGATTTTAAATCACGGATTGATGTATTGTTCTGGTTATAAGGCCTATCTGCGAGGAGATTAATCAGCTATGGCGGTTGCAAGGCAGCTGCTTTGGGATTCTGGACAGCTGCTAAAGTTTGAGGACGTTGAAAGGTATTCTTATCTTGGGCATTTTTTTTACTTTTTGATCGCGGTCTCTCGGTTGTTGCTGTGATGTTCTTGGAAATTGCTGCAGCAGAGAGAGTACAAGAATCTTTGATTTGATCTCAGTTTTTTTTAAAAGCAACAATATTCAATTTGATTGACAGGTTGTCCTTTGTTAGCGCTGACACAATTCAGAGGTGGTCGCTTTTCGATGATACGGTACAAATCCCGGAAGTCACGTTGTAATGCGATCTTTAAAACTGAGTTTGAGGTATTTGTTAGAATATCCAGGATGACAAATCATTTTTTATTGGCTGTTGAAGTAATTTAAACTGTTTAAAGTCTAAAAACTTTCACTGAACAATTTTTAAAACAAGTTTAAAATAAGAAAGTTTGTTCCCAAGGTTGCATAGTAACTCTCAATAAGGCCAGCGTTAATCTCCATCCAGTGATCAGAAAGTAAACACTTGAACTGTCGAGGGGTTGGCCAAAGATTGATAACCTCATTTATGAACAAAGGCGAGCGTCTGAGTGTGTGTGTGCATGTGGTGAGGGGGCGTGCCGAGTGTTTGGCAGTACTAGGCACACACTCAGATCGATGGCATCTCCCTCTCGGAGTCGTATGTGTGTATGTGTGTATGTATGTGTGTGTGTGTGTGTGTGTGTGTGTGTGTCATACTGAGAGACACAGCAGGTCTCTGTCAGAGCTCGGAGCGAAGCCGTGAGACTCTGGGGAGAAGAGACACCTCAACCCAGAGGGATCATTCCTCTCCTCTCCTGCAGCCGTACACGAGTTAGTTATGACACCTAGTGGTTAGTTTTCTACCTCTAATCTCGCCACCTAAATGTACAATATGAAGAATGTTTACATAAAATATCTAAATTAATTAAAAACGGACTAAACCTTTGTCATAAATATTTATGTTGAGTTCTTACAATACTTCAGATATTTCCAACAGTTATCAAAGCCAGAGAAATCCTTCATTTTAGAAATGTAAGGGCTGCCATGTTTATCGTTGCTGTGGAAACATCGGCTGTTAAGTCAAAGACCACTACATAAGCTAGCATGAGCTGCTACTGAAAGCTGCCGTACTGTTGCTGTATGTGCCCCCTGGTGGTGGGATTTTACAAACTGTGCTTTAAAGCAAATTAAATCAAAAACCTTTCATGGCCTTTGAGGTGCTGGTGGCCTAGTGGTTAATTTGTGTGCGAAATGTACAGAGGCTTGAATACTCCAAGTGGGCGTTTCAGGTTCGAATCAGACCAGTGGTTCCTTTCAGACAGTTTTCCCCTCTCTCTCTCTGATTCCAGACTCTATCCATCTCTAAAATAAAATCATGTAACTATTTGAAAATGATTTGGCAGAAGGACCTTGAGAAAGAGATTGAATGTGGTAAACATGAGAGAGGCTTGGGGTAAGCTCACACAGTATAAGCTATTACATCAATATTATCACACACCTTCCAGACTTAGAATGAAACTGTTCAATGATAACTTGTGCTGGGAATGTCAAACTGAAACAGGAACTTTCCTGCATTGTATGTGGGAGGGTAGATTGGTCAGACCTCTCTGGACTCATTCAGATCTTTACAGTGTTTTTGAACATGTATTTGTGTAACCTGAGTGTCTACTGACCCACAAAATGTGAAATAAATCCATCCAGTCCTTTGTGGTCTGCATAAGTCTTACAACACAGAGAAAAATGCTCCGTTTCAAATGTGCTTGTGATGTCACAGTGGGATTTTGGTAAAAAAAAACACCCTCCCCTCCCCTGGTATCTCCACCCACAGGCTAGATTTCTCCTCAGTGTAAGGGACTGCACTGCAGAAACTCCAATCTTACAAAGTGTATTTGTTTAATTTATAGTCAAAAATATCTCACTACATTTTACATAAGCATCCTTCCCCTGACAAGAAACACTTACATCAAGATCTAAAGAGCTAAACATCAGGCATGGACTGACTGTAATAAGCAACGATATCAGCCGAACAGATTTAAATCTTTATTTTAAATTAAGACACTTACAAAGTAAGCAGACTAGAAATGAGAGCGTAAAGCGTAAACTTAAAATCCCTAGTGTGGATGAATGTTGTAAGTTACCAACTTCTGCAGCAAAAGGTTGAAATTCAGAGACCTTTGTCAAAAGTGCCGTCAGTAAGCTCCGCCCTCATCACGTCTTTTTACGTTCATATTGTTTTTGTCTGCTGAGGCTCAGCTGGTTTTGTCCGTAGAGGTTGTGGTGGCGTGGAGCTCTGTGTTAGCAGTCTGTCGGTCTCTACGAGGGCTTGGAAGGCGGAGAGGGGGGGAGGAGATGGTGCAGATGGACTGGGAGTACTGGGGCTCCTCCTCACACTCGCTCACGGTCATTTCATTCAGGTAGAAACCTTGCAGCTCTGCATACTGAGGACCGGCGAGGAGCCTGAGCAGCACGCACACCTGAGGGACCTGCAGCACGGTGTCCTTAAAGGTGATGAGAACCACCAGACCCCCCACCAGGTAACCTGAGGAGAGAGGAGCATTTCAAAAAAACAATAACGTTCAATCACTTCTCTTTAAAAATCATCCGAGCAGCCTGGATTTGTTCTCCCCCGGTTTCCATTTCTACCAAAAAATGATTCTTACAAATCACATCACTTACACGTAGTGAGGAGCTCCAGGGTCTCCTTTGCTCCGGGACTCCAGCTCCTCCCCAAAGTGTCTCCCCCCTGGCCGACGGTGCTCAGGGTGAGGAAGCAGAAGAAGAGTGCGTCCAGGAAGTTCCAGTTTGGCTCCAGCAGGAGCACCAGGAGGGCGGGGAGGAGGAAGAGGAGGCAGAGGACGAGCATGGAGAGGAGGCCAGCGTGGAGGAGCGCGGCCTGGGTGTAAGGGAAACCCCACAGAGTGTGCAGGAGGTGGACAGGAGCGTGGGTGAGGAAGGGGAGGAGGAGGTTGGAGAGGAGGGTGAGGAGGAACAGGGTGAGGGGGATCCCCAGGGTGCAGTAGAAGATACAGAAGAGTTTGGCCTCGTCTGATTTGGGCGTGTAAGAGTCGGAACCTGAGGAAAAAGAGGAGGAGGAGGAGGAGGAGAAGAAGAAGCAGGAGGAAGAGGAGGAGGAGGAGAGGAAGAGGAAGGGGAGGGAGAGGAGGAGGAGGAGGAGGAGAAAGAGGAAGATACGGAGGAGTTTCAGTTCATGATCTGTGTCTCTTACTGGAAAATGTCCCATCACAATTCATCATAACCCCTTTTATACACAGCTAGAATTAAAAAAGCAAATATCTCACGTACTTATTTGTGCAATTTAGACGTTAATGTAGAGAAGTTTGTCTGCAAGTTTAGATAATTAAAAACAATAAACTACCCACAATGGGCGCCTAGGACTTCTATTTTTGTTGCCATGGTAGCAAAACAGGTATGATATTCTTTGATTTTTACTAAGGTTAGGGTTAGTCAATTAATAGTTAAAAATTCTAGTACCGACAGCGCCTAATTTGAATGCCAGTTATTGGAAAACAAACATTTTTGGACATCATACTGATCGTGTTGATCTTACCCATGGTGGTGAGCGTGACGATGACAAAGTAAAGTGATGAAGTGAAACCCTGACGTCTCTCCTCCTCGTCCTCTTCCTCCTTCAGGACAGGAACATCCCTCCGATGAGCAGACAGAGTTCTCCTCAGCACCTCCCTCAGCCTGCTCTCGTCCACACACGGGTTCTCCTGCAGGAAGGAGCTCCACACCGCCTGCACCTCCGCCCTCAGCTCCTCCTCCACCGGCTTCTCCACGGCCGAGAACACCAGGGCTCCCAGCGCGATGAAGAGGAGGTAGAGGAGGAGCAGACAGAGGAACGTGTTGATCCTGAAGAAGAGTCCCAGAGAGGAGAGGAGCCGGGCCATGGCTGGATCTGACTGCAGACTGAAACACGACACTGAGAGCGAGGACGGTTTAAATAATAAAACAGAGGAGCAGCTCACAAACAGGTCAGTTTAACTATAAAGAAACTCCACAGGCTTCTTAGGACTCAAAAAGATCAAATTAACCTTTAGAATTACAACAATACATCTTTTATTCGGCAGAAACAAAAAGAAATGGACAAGATGTCGACATTTTTCTGACAAATACAAAGCAGGCCTCAAAAACTGTCAGACCGATACGTTAATGCGTTCTTTACTCCCATATTTCAGTCTCACTTCAGAAGTACCAAAATGCAGTACCTCCATTGTCCACTAGAGTCTGTCTCCTGCAGTGAGTCAGTCCCCATAGAGCCCCATGTTACAATGTCCTTCTTTACAGCTGCATTAGTGGTTAGGAATAATCCCTATATGTTACGTTATATGTCTGGGTTACCCCAACACTAGCTGGCTGCTGTTTGAGCTTTTATTTAGTTTCTACTCTGACTTCAAATAACCAGTTTGAGATCATACACTTAGAAAAATGGATCATATTCCGCCTTTAACTCATAATAAGGCCCTTTGTGTCTCCATTTTCTGTGTACTTTCTCATCAACCGTAAAGCCTTGAAATGAAAACAGTTCAGATGAGTTCAGATCACTCAGATTTGTGACGGTAACACGACTTAAACCTGGAACATAACAGTAAGACACAACAACAAGTTTGAGCTTCATGTGGAAGCTAACGGGCTGTAGCAGCTAGCCACACACTAGCTGGTGTGAGCTAAGCTAACAAGCTAACCAATCACATGTATTTACATTTCAGGGGAGGAGTGCATAAGGCTATGGTGGGAGGAAGAGTATTGCAAGGACATGAAAACAAATAGAAATCTGCTCAGTTTTTTGGGAGAGATATTTATCTTGGAATAACGAGTAACGAGGCGCTTGCATTTCCAGGTTTCACTCCGTGGGGCTCCAGTATTTTTAGCAGTTGCAGTTGTTTGTCTGTTGAGTCTCAGCGTAGCCGCCTGAATGCATTTCAGATACATCACATTTATCAGCTCTGTAAATATAAAAAGAACTATTTACAGGTGTAATAAAGCAGGTGTACAACAGTCACACCTCCTTCTTGTCTCTACAGAGGCAGGTAAAGGGAGTAATGTGAGCATGCCCAGCGGCGTACAGGTTTGCCCACCCTCCCGATCACGGGCAGCTTGTGGGCGTAGGCTCGGGGTGGGACAGCAGAGAGGGGAGGGGTCGGGGCAAAAGTTGTTTGGAAAGGCCTTCGACCCTGACAGCGGCGACCCATCTGACGCCCGCCGATGAGGAAGGTGAAGGCCGGAGGTCCTGTCTGAGGGGAGGTGAAGCGAGATTTGGGGAAAACCTCCCGAGAGAGACTGGCTGAACGCTGGCCGGAGCGAGAGGACGAGGACTTGGAGCGCTGAACAGAGGAGGTGGAAGAGGAGGAGGAGGAGCGAGCCAGGGACCTGCAGGAGCGGAGGATACCAGAATGTAAATCTCAGATACGAATCTAGTATCTACGGAACAAAACTTGAAACCCTCGAGTTAAGTTTTTGAAAAGTCTTTTTTTGTTACCTTCCTGATCCGGTGGCGGCGAGGCTGGGCGGCGGCGGATCCGTGCGAGGACTCCCATCCTGCCTCGGGCTGATGTTGAGGTTGGCGGTGAGCTGCGGCATCTTTCTGGTGGTTTCCGGGTTGGAAGCTGGGCCGGGCGGATCCTTCCTGGCCTCACCGAGCTGGGCGGGGGTGAAGGGAGGGTAGCTGCCAAACCCGGGTCCTGTACTGAAGCGGACTGCCAGGCTGTCTCCGAAGAAGGAGTAGAGCTCGGTGTACATGTCGGGGAGGGGCACGGGGGTCCACTCTTCCCAGGGACAGCCGGCCCCGCCTGCCTGCAGGTGGCTGGCGATGCCCAGGGCGGCCTCTGAGAGGGGCTCTGGAGGGGGGCTGAGGCCCGGGGAGCTCACCCTGTAACCCAGACCCCCCACCACAGAGCCCGACTGACCCCCCGCACCCCCCTCTGCAGGCTGAGACAGAGACAGAGCCTTCATCTTCAGCAGACGCTCCACCGCCACCTGCAGGACACACAGGAGAACACAGTGACTTGTTGCACGAGGAAAGTTATTAGAAAATGTTTCAACTGGGTTTTTCATAAAGTCAGGGTGGACAGCTGGGGATGTGTGGAAAACTTTCCAGCATTAAATTTAGGGATGGGTGTTGCATCATAAGTCACAATAACATACAATAATATACTTGGCCTGTCTGTTGTTACAGGGTTGACATTAAGTCAAAGTGTCCAATGGCCCTGAGAAAAATGGATGTAAAAGTAGTTTATTTAAAAACTCTTCTTCCTCCATGTCTTCCTCAATTGGCTGGATTTCCTGTTTTCATAAACACTGTCACTCTCCCTCGACTGTTCCGCTGATTTCCTTTATTTAACTGTTGATTTTTTTTTCCCCCGCCGTTTGTTGACCATGAACTCCACAAGCTGAGACGAGAGAGAACCTGCGCTACACCAGAGTCGGACGGTACGATCAGAGAGTGGTGACACACATGCACATGCTGCTGTAGTTAACAAGATGATTTCACAAGAAACAACAAACACAACAGGAGAAGAATGCTAAATAATGAATGTTGTCTTACTGTTTATGTTTATGACCTGATCGACCAGTGGAATGTGCAATCAGCGGGTTTAAGGTCATTCACTCATTCATCCTGGTCAGTTATAATGTTGAATCGTGTATCATCTTTAATCTAAATCTTCTCTTTGCCTGTTTTTAGCTCACATATTTATCGTTTTCTTAGAACTTTTAAATGTTGCATTAGTGTGTGCATGTATGTTCATGTCTGCATGTGCGCACACGTCTATTTTCATGCTCGTGTATACATTTGAGTTGATGTAGTTTGGGCATCTGTTAAGGATCCTCCTGGACGCCTCCCTTTAGAGGTTTTCCGGGCATGCCTAACCGGGGGGGGGACCCAGCGGTACCCAGGAATCCCCCAAGAGGAGCTGGAGAATGCTTCTGTGGAGAGGTAAGTCTGGGTTGACTAACTGCACCTGCTGCGACCTCGGCTAAGCGGAGGAAAATGGATGGACGGATGGATGGGTGTGTACATTTCATGCTCGATCATGCATATGGCTAGTTTGTGTAAACTGTTTATGCATTCTGTAGAAATTGTGTATTTCTCATATGCACACACATAATACTATTTTATGAGATTTTTTTTAAATGCTTTTAGTGTCTGTGTGAAGCACTTTGAATCGCCTGGTGTCTGACAGGTGCTCTATAAATGACCCTGCCTTTCCTATCAGAGCCGACATATGACAATAAACTTCCCATGTGAGAAATATAAATGTACATTTTCTAGTTGGAACAAATGACAGCGTGAGAAGGAACACAATTTCACACTGAAAGCAAAACAGTCATTAGTTTCAAAATGAAATCTCTCACTTCTGTGTTTTCTTTAAAAATGAAAAAGGAACTTGAGCTTGCATTTCTTTTTTAGTCTTCTGACTACTAAAAAACACCGCAGGTCACACCTACACATTCACACACTGATGGTAGAGGCTGCTGAGTAAAGAATCCATCAGTATTAAGTCAACCATTCATACACCGCCGATGAAGCAGCGGGAGCAACTTGGGGTTAAGTTTCTTGCCCAAGGACTACTGCGACGTCGAACCCCCGACCTTCCAGTTAAGAGAGGACCGACTCTACCACTGAGCCACAGCCGCCCTCATGAAGGAGCTTCATTACAGAGAAACAGGAAAAACAGAATGAAGCTTGTAGGAGCCATATGTAGGAGTTGTAAAACATAAACTGCTCCAGCAGGTGTCACCTCTGTTCAGGTTGTACAGTTTATAGTGTTGGTGTCAGGTGTTGCTAAATGGAAGAGCAGACACTTTTTTTGACAGTTACGCTACACCAAGGTAAGATGGAGTGTTTTGAGTAAATCTTTATATTTGGAAATGTTTGGACCAATGTTGGAATCTTGCATATGAAATATTGAAGTTCATTAGTGAACAAGAAATAAATCTTCCATAAACGAAGTAGATATCGGACTGTCACACTCCTAAATTCCACCCGGTGCATGTTCGGTCCGTCTCCCCTCCGTTACTGCATTAACGTTGTCGCGAGTGAATCTGTAATCATCACGAGAACTCCTCTGCAAAGACTACAGCCGACGGCTCATGCATTGTGAGAGGCAATAACTCTCCATGCCAGCAGGGGGCGGTAGTCTGTAATCGTCATTCCAAAAAGGTGAAACCAGAAGAGGACGAGGAAGAACGCGGATAAATAAACCTTTTTTATGATACGAGAAGACAATTTTCTCACTGCTGTCGCTCAACACTCGTGATATAGGAACTTCTAATGGAGAATAATGTCTGATAAAAAGTTGAACATGGCGCTGGCGTTGTCAGCCCTTGGTCTTTTATTAGTGGAACAAGAAGAGAAGGGGCGCTTCCGTTTTTCTTCTTGTGCACTGGCTCTCCTGTTTCGCTTAGCTGAACAGCCAATCAGAGAGATTCCTACCCCCAACCGCGCCTGTGTCGGCCGACACCAATTCAATATCTCGAATTGGCTGAAAAAAACGTATGATAACTTTGGGGAACTAAAAAGGCGTTCTGTCACTGCAGCACTCACCAGGATGGCTCCGTAGACTTTGTGTCCGTCTGCTTTGACCTGACCGTTAGAAACAGAGTAGTCGTCCAGCACAGCCTGAAGGTTTGCCCAGTACGCAGGGAGGTGAGGGAAGAGGACTCTCTCCACAGCCTGCAGATTAAAAAACACAAACACAACATGAGTGAGGAGACGTGTGAGGAGAGCAACAAGCAGACAAGAAGGAAACAGAGGAACATAGAAGAGGGCACGAGAAGAAATAAAAAGGGGGCTCAAGGTTTCAAAGATTCTGCTTAATCACGAGTCTTTACAGATAAAGACCCCGATCATACCTTCCATCCCAGAGCGTGCAGCCCGACCACTGCCCCATAGTGAGAGCAGAGCGGTCTCACAGGGTCAGACAGAACCTTCTGGAGCGACAGCAAGATCTGATGGTAGAGACCGCTCACCAGGTCACCATGAGTCCTACAGAGACAACAAAAAAAAAGCAACAAAAGGAGACGGATATTGAAACGGCATCAAGGGGAAGTCTGGTATTTTTCAACATAGACCTGATCTGTAAAGGCGGAGTCAGTATAAATGTAAACACAACATTCAAACTGGGCCCCTCCTCCTGGGCCCACTCCCTGCACGACGTTGTGTGTACGTTTACTACTTGTAGCTACACTGCAAGCTACCGCACGCTAGCACAAGCTAACCGCCGGTGTTTGTCCCCTGCCTGTCCAACAGGAAGCAGACCAACTCCACGTATCCGGGTAAAAGCCAACACAAGGTTCACCCTCTTTTAGAATGAGCTTTATCCACTTGGTGTTTCTCCTCACTGTGGTTATATTTTCTCTTTTTCACCGCTGTTCACCTCAGTCTCCGCCAGACATGCCTGCCGTTGTCATGGTAATTCTGATGCTGTCTGTCAGTGAGTACAGACACAATCAGGAAAAAAAATATATTGATGCCGAGGACTTCTACTTCTGTTGCCGTGGTGTTGAAACATTTCTCAACATTATTTGATTTTTACCAGAATTGTATCTTAGTCCTAAAATCTGGTCTCATATCCTACAGACAAAAGACGTTTTTGTAAAAGAGGAAGACAAACTACTCTCATAAAAAAAAAAAAAAAAATTCTTGAAGGACATGAGAGTAGTTCGTCTTCTGCTGCTTCTGTAAGTCAGTTTCTAACAAAAACAAAACGGAGGCGTTAAAGCAACATCAGCGTCGGTGCCACAGTGAGGGGCGTAATCATCACACGACTCAACCAATCGTTTATCAAAGTCGTTGCTAACACTTTTAATTAACAACCGTTGCAGCTCAACTTAAAACGATTTGCTGAATCGTTCCTCATTTGATTCAACTTCAGAAGCTTCGTGTTTTACCCGACCAACCGTCTAAAACCCAGACATGAACGGTTTACTGTCACACAGGACAAAGGACAGTAAAAACTTTGTCCAGACATGCAAAAAAAAAGGTCAAATGAGGAGTTTTAAAGGACTTAATTAATGTGAAATATGATCCCCGATCATTTCACCTCTTAAACAAACTGACCAGAAGATGTGGCTGAGCAGCAGGGCGGCGTAGTCCCGGAGGGTCCAGTGGTCGTTGAGCGGGTTGATGGAGGCGGCCAGCGGCTCCAGGATGCAGTACATCACGCTGGACACCAGGCTGCGCACGTATGAGCCCAGGTACAGGTATGGGTTCTGGACCAGACTCTTCACCATGTGGAGGAGTCTGTTGAGCTGCTCCAGGTCATGACTTACCGACTTCACCTGCACAGGAGGTACAACGACGTCAACGCCTCGAGACGTGGAGGGTTCTTTAACGTCTTTTAATTTCCATGTGACTTTGATGCATTTTAAAAATGTAATGCAAATAATAATAACATCATTTCAGCTTTTTGAGGGAGTTTTTTGAACTTGGAATTCAAAACATGCACAACCATTGAAGTGTCTTTAAAGAAAGTGGGTATGAAAAGTAAACATACCCCGCTGATGACATAAACAAAGTAAGGAAGGAGAGCGGCGATCTTTGAGTTGGACTGGAGATCCAGCAGAGCCACCTGAAACATACAGAACCCAAGCTCCAGATAAACACTTTGTTCAAACCTCACAGAGATCGTGTGTGTGTGTGTGTGTGTGTTCAGCAGAGTGTGTGTGTGTGTTCAGCAGAGTGTGTGTGTGTGTGTTCAGCAGAGTGTGTGTGTGTGTGTTCAGCAGAGTGTGTGTGTGTGTGTTCAGCAGAGTGTGTGTGTGTGTTCAGCAGAGTGTGTGTGTGTGCGCGTGTTCAGCAGCCAGTTCTGACCTTCATGAGGTGAGCGTCGTCTCCAAGGATGGCCCGAGTGATCTGCTGGTAATACTTCAGCAGGTCGTCTGAGAGGGTCTGCACCGCGGACGGGACTGAGAACGGAGGCGAGTCAGACAAGTGAGAAATCTGACGCTTGCATAATCCAAAGTATTTAATTTAATCCACAATAAACAATATGAAGCGAAAGACTTAACGAGAAATAACTAAAAAAATATATTATAGAAGACACTGTCGGACTCTGGGTTGGTGGGACAACTTTGAAAATGAAATGGTCATTGCAGAGGAATGGGGAGAAAATGTATGCATGTCAAGGACATTGTTGTCTCTGAGTGAGAGGACACTGAAGGACGCACTGTGATGAGATCGCCTGGAAGTGTTGTTAAAAAAGTTGTTGTGTTTTTGTGTTTTCATGTGGACGAAGATGTTTTGGAGAACTTTAAACTTTAAACTGAAGAGAAAAACCTCCCTACGTGTGGACTAGGCCTGAGTCTCACCTGTCCCCTGAGGCTCCAGGTTTCCTTTCCCATCCAAGTACGACACGTTCACTGACAGGTGGAGAAAACAGGAGGCGTTATCAGTAACATTTTCTTCCTGATCTGTGATGTGAATTTCTGACAATGCAGTGGGTCTCGGGTCTGACCTCGCACCATGGTCTCAGCACAGCCTTTAGGGATGTTTGTAGCCAGAGCGAGCTCCACCAGGTTGATGTCCCGATCCTCGACGAAGAAAAGCTCTCCTTCTTTCACCGAACGGAAAGGGAGAGCATCCTGAGCCCCGTAGCCACAAACAGCCTGGTTAAAAAAAAAAAAACACACAGACACACGATGAAGGATGTGACTGGTTCAATATCGAACAGACTTTAAAGGGACCTTTCTATCTCTCTCACCTCCACGTTGCTCCAGCGCAGAGCTCTGTTAAAGTCCTCCACTGTCAGCTTCCTCCTCTTGGCATGCCTCATAAACTGAGAGCTGCTCTGTGGGGTCCAAAACATCGCACAACATAAATACTTCTTGTCTAAGAACACACTTCAATGTTAAAACCATCAGTCCAGCTCTAACCTGGGCTGCCTCCCTGAGCCGGTAACACACGTCCTCAGCCAGCAGAGCGGCCACATCGTCCCCGAGCTCCAAGCCTGCACTCTCGGCCATGAGTTTGACGGAGTCCCGGGAGACTTCTGCGAAGCGGCGCTCCTCCCGGTCCGCCATGCTCACCGTGAAGTTTCGGACACTGGGATTTAAAAGGTCACCTTACATTAACACCTGCTACCTCTGGCATTTGTAAGGCTTTAAGACTCTAAAAACAGAGTTAGGACTACTTTAAAAAAAACTCTGGACAATAACGCTACTACAGCAGGCGTCTTTATCATCTCACATTATACGATTTTATTAAAAATAGAGAATCGCTTTGTTCATCATTTATATTCCGAATACACAAAGACACAAATTGGATTTGTTTTAGATGTTGACTTCTGGGAGATCTATTCATTTTTAGTGACAAAATTAAAATAATGTTTAATTAGCAAATCTTCCAATGAGGTTTGGTTTGCAGGTGTCTTGTACACGCGCATGCGCGGAATCGCTGTCAATCATGCTAACAAAATAAAAAGCGGGTCCGTCTATCGGCTGGAAAATACAAAAATCACAAGTTTAACCGGTTATATTCAAAGGTATTAAACCGAACGAAACTATTAAAAAGTATAAAAGAGTGTGAATAACCCGAGTAACGTCACCAGCCTGAGCCGCTGATGTTAAGTTAGCTACAAACACAGAAGATGCTAATGGCGAGCTGAGAGAAGAGAAGAAGAGAAGAAATGCTACAAGCTGAATATTTAACACTTTAAATAAACGTTACCTTCTTTTCTAGAACGACTGTGGGTTGATTTTAATTTGTTACTGGTAGAAAAGTTTAAATCTGCGCAGCTAAGTGATAGCAATAAGTGCTACATGATCTTCTTCTTCTGTTGTGTTTAATGGCGGTTGGCGTCCTTGTTTGGTGCATGACCGCCACCTACTGGATGAAACAAGTCAAGTCTAGTTTATTTCTATAGCACGTTTAAAACAGCCTCCAAGTGCTTTACGGACAAGACATAAAAGATCATCAGACAAACATAAGAGCATTGAATTAAACAAAAAGTACGTAGACATTATATATATATATTTAAATCAAATATTAAAATGGGTTTAACTCATTTAAAGGCCAAGGTGGGTTTGAGGTAATTGCTTTGAATTACTTTAACGATGGGGGGAGGCAATGGATTCTATCTAGGACACATCGGACATTTGGCAGCATGAGCTGGGGATCGAACCCTCGACCTTTTGGTTGAGAGACGACTATTCTACTAACTGAGCCACAGTGATTTGTTTTCATTGTAAATTCGTTTATAATCAAATTTATGAATAAAAGGGCGAGCAGACAGACTTAACCTATGGCCACATATTAGCCCTATCCAGACTGATGATTCAAGCCACAATATTTACGCCCCTGTGACGTTTCTCCTTCAATATGAATGTCCTGTTGGCATAATGGAGGGGACAAAGTGATTACCCCGTCTGTGCCGTCTTTGAAGGTAGCAACAGAGGCGTTACAGAGAAGAGACCGGATCAGCTGAGCCAGTTGGGGGAGAACAGCGCTGTGTGTGCGCATGTCTGACTGTACGTGGAGCCCCCGCTGTGCCATGCTGCCACAACGCTGAAACACAATGTGACCTCACAGACTGGGACGCCAATATTACACTGTTATTGAATCAATATGAATGTACAGAGACGTGATGACGACTGAGCTTAGTTACACTTTTGCGAAAAAGGCGGGCTGAAAAGGGCTTTTGTCAACCGAAGAGAAAGGGGAATTTAAAAAATAAATCAGAAATGAAAGTTTAGGAGTTATTAAAGTACCTGTGAGGAGTGAAGCGTACTGATGCCTCTTATGACCTACAAACGCAGAAGAGATCAGGGTTAAACATTTCTCAGTTACTTTTTGTACTGATTCATGTACTCCAGGACTTTCTTTGGATTCCACCTAAAGAAGGAGTCCACTGAATTATGTTGTTAACATGACGTCTATGGTCTTTTTCAGGAGCACAGACCTCCATTTGTAGAGCATCTGAAGCTCGAGATTCATTAAGATATGAATATTAAAAAAAAGTATACATATAGATGTTGACACTTTGCAGGTCAGGGCAATACAACTTAATGAGATGAGATGAGATTCAACTTTATTGTCATTACACATATACAAGTATAGAGTAACGAAATGAGGTTTGGCATTTCACCAGAAGTGAAAATAAGCAGAAAGTGCAAGAGTCTGTGCTATGTACAGTAATTACAAAATTTACAGCTGTAGACTAAAAAAAAGTGAATTATTAGGTATATATGGCTGGATTAATGGGATGCTATAAATATAAATAAATGCTATATAAGTGTAAGTGTAAGTGTATAAGTGTATTTTTACGATTATAATATACAGATTAAGGTGCAGTGAGCATGCTATACTAGATTACAGATAATATACAGAATATGGACATATTGTACAGGTCGATAACTTATTGAGGGGATATGAACATACTATAATACAATAATACAGATGGATGAGAGATGTGTGTGTGTGACCAGGAGGAGTGGTGGGGGGATGATGGGTGTGAGGTGATATGCAGGGGAAAGGGGGGGGTCAGCAGGGGGCGGAGAGAGAGAGGGAGAGAGAGAGAGAGAGACAGAGTTCAGAGTTCGGGGGGTAGAGTTCAGTAGAGAAACAGCTCTGGGGAAAAAGCTGTTCCTCAGTCTGCTGGTTCTGGTCCGGAGGCTTCTGAAGCGCCTACCGGAGGGCAGGAGGGTGAACAGTCTGTGGGCAGGGTGGGAGGAGTCTTTAAGGATGCCATGAGCTCGCCGCAGACAGCGTTTTCTTTGGACGTCCTCAATGGCAGGAAGTGGGCACCTTGTGATACGCTGGGCAGTATTTACCACCCGCTGTAGCGCCTTACAGTCTGTGACAGAGCAGTTTCCGTACCAGACTGTGACACTGCTGGTCAGGATGCTCTCGATTACACAGCGGTAGAAGTTCATCAGTACAGCTGAAGACAGGTGGTGTCTCTTCAGTGTCCTCAGGAAAAAGAGGCGTTGATGAGCCTTCTTAACCAGACTGGAGGTGTTAGTGGACCAGGAGAGGTCCTCTGTGATGTGGGTCCCCAGGAACTTGAAGCTGGAGACACGTTCAATAGCCATCCCGTTGATGTGAATGGGGTTGTGCGTGCTTCCCCTTTCTCTTTTGAAGTCCACGATGAGCTCCTTCGTCTTGCTGGTGTTGAGGAGCAGGTTGTTGTCAGCTCACCAGGCGGCCAGATGCTGTACCTCCTCCCTGTAGGCTGTGTCATCGTTGTTGCTGATGAGGCCAATCACCGCCGTATCGTCTGCAAACTTGATGGTGTTGGATCCATGTACAGGTCTGCAGTCGTGGGTGAAGAGGGAGTAGAGGAATGGGCTCAGCACACAGCCCTGTGGTACGCCTGTGTTGCGTGTGATGGTGGTGGAACAGGTGTGTCCTGACCTAACATACTGGGGTCTGTTGGTCAGAAAGTCCATCATCCAGTGACGGAGGGAGGTGTTGAAGCCCAGGTCTCTGAGTTTAGTGTTTAACTTGGAGGGGATGACAGAGTTGAATGCTGAGCTAAAATCAACAAACAGCATTCATGCACATGTGTTGTTATTGACCAGATGTGTGAGCACAGAGTGCAGCGCAGTGGAAACTGCATCCTCTGTACTCCTATTGCTGCGGTAGGCGGTAATGACATCCTTGAAGCAGACAGATGCTCCTTTAATGTCAAGGCTTGCTTGATTATCATGTCCACAATTAAAGGGAATGGACGGCCTCAACAATGACAGACCAGCCACTAAGGAGGTCTGGCTAGTTGTTACAACAGGCACAATTAAGAAAAGGCTGACTGAGGCAATGAGGATTCTGTGAGTAGAGTTGAACAGGAGAATTACAGGACCCACTAGAGTCCAATCCGCCCCCTCTGGACCAGCTAAAGCCTCAAAATGTTTTATTGTAGTTAACGATAAATTTTGATTTTATGAGCTTAAAAACAATTGTAGGTTTTATAATTAGTTGCTGTAGCCTTCAGAGTTCCTTTTACGGAATTAAGTAATGCAGCTGCATCAGGCTTATCGTCACCTTTCAGAGAGATCTACATTTAGTCAATTTAATCTGTCTTCCCTTTCAGTGTTTGTGCGAGCTGCTGCATTGAGCTAATTTTCAAACCAATAAAAGGACACAAACAGGAAGTAGAGTTTAGAGATTAAAATGAGTTTATTCATGATCCTGAGCTCAGACATTTCATTCACTCAGTTCAATAATAAAGTATTTACAATAGTTAAAAACTTAAATTACACTCATAGCTACACCTTAAGTTACAGGAAACCAGAACCAGTCTAGTCCTGATGACCTGCAGACACAAGCCCTCGAGTTAAACAACCTTCAGTTTAAAAAAAAAAAAATAATGTCCTCAGAACGAGGGTTAAAAACAAAAACATTTAAAAAAAAAAGGAGCTGTGCTGTTAGTGCTGCTTGTTGTCGGCCAATCAGAGAGCCCGGTTGTCCCAGATCTCCGACGCCTTGCTGCTCTCCAACTGCTGCAGGTGCAGTGCGAGCGGCAGCAGCAGGTCGCTCAGGTGCTGGCTGGAGAAGGTGAAGGCGTTGTGGGCGGTGGCCTCGGCTGGTGGAGTTAGAAGCGGGGAGGTGGACGGAGGGGAGGAGGAGGTCGAGGAATTAGGTGAGGTGGAGGTGAAGGGCGAGTTGGGGGAGGGTAAACCTGAGCTGCTCTGGTAAGGCAGCGGTGTCTGCTCTGAGTTTTTCATCTTGCTGGGGAGGCCGTGCTGGAAGCGGCAGCGTGTCCCGTACAGGCAGAAGCCGAACGAGCTGAAGGTGCGGCACAGAGCGCCACGCGGCTTCCACTCCTTTGTCTGTGGAGGTGGGTGTGGCTGAGGGCTGGGAAGAGGCGGAGTCTTCTCCTCAACATCATCAGGGGAGTCCACGCTGCCACCCTCAACGTGCAGGAAGTTACAGCGGGTACCAAACGGGCACACGCCGAAGGAGCGGAAGGTGCGGCAGGGGACGTTCCTGCGGCGGCGGACGGCAGGGCGCTGCTCTGTGGCGCTGTGCACAAACAGGCAGCGGTTGCCATAGTAACAGTATCCGGTGGTGTGATAGCTGCGGCACAGCTCCGTCTTGTACTTGGGGTGGCGGAAGGGGACGTGGAGCTCGTGGAGGCCGTGGGCGAACTGGCAGCGCTCTGCGTACTTGCAGAAGCCGGTGGCCGAGTAGCTGGTGCAGAGCTCCGTCTTGTAACGGGTGGAGAAGAGCCACGGCATGAGTGGGGAGGAGGACGACTCCACCAGGGGGAGCAGGGCCTTCGCCAGGGAGAGACCGCCTCCTACGTCGCCATCAGACTCCTCGCTGGAGAGGAGGTTGTCCACCAGCTCCTCGTCCTGATAGGAGGGCAGGAACAAGTCGTCGCTGCTTGTCTGCAGATAAAAGAAATAAAACAGTCAACATTTGCGCCATTTTTTAAACAGCAGTCACTTATAAACTTGTTTCAACACATGATTTGACAAATGTTATTTTCTCTACTTCCTGTTCATCACAAACTTGAGCGACAATAGACTGTAAAAATCCAATGACGCTTTAGGCATTAAATCTGAGCTATCTGATGTTTAACGGCTACGTTAGCATTCAACCACTTAGCCTGCTAGCATCAGATTATTGCTTAATTTTAGTGATGAATTTTTTTAAAAGTTAAGCTTTTTGTTCCAGTGATCACCAAGTCACTGGTTGAGCAGTAGCTTCAGCCTTCCAGGTTACTAGTCGTGAACATGTGACTGCTCCCAGAATGATTAGCAACTTGAACAAAAAAAAAGAAAACACTTTAATATGAGCTAATTAGTGAAGTTTTAATTGATTAGCTGAGGTAAAAGTTTAGCCTCTTCCTAGCCAACATAAACTGCTAAC